TCTGAGGAGCTTTCTCTGCTTCCCCCCTAAATGTTCCTGTATGGACTTCCACAAACAGGCGTTCACCGAGTGGGGAGGAATCTTTCCTATCTTTATAAGCTATGTTCTTTGGTCACATAAACCTGGAACACTAGTCAAACACGGGATCATAGAAGGCCGACCGCTCCGAATTCCCTCCTGAGCCGTTGAGAATTTCCACAGCAGCCCCTGCACGTGACACTGCGTGCAGGGCTCCTGCCTAGAGCACATGCTCCCCTCCTGCCACCCGCTCGGCTGTAGGTACCACAGGTCACCTCTCTGAGATGACCTCTGCTGCTGCCCGAGGCTTCTGTGGGCCTTGCTGGACCCTGAGATTGGTTGCCAGGGGCTCCAGATTTCTGTGACTGCACCGCCACTCTGTGTCGCCTATCTGTTCTCCATCCTCTCCAGGAACTTTCTATCTCCTATAGCCATTTGGAGACATGCTCAGACTGTCCACATTACCTGTGTGTCTCTGCATGATGCCATCAGCCATTAGTGACATGCACCTTCTGTCTGTGCTCCCACAACCACATCACTGCCAAGATTCCCTCTGCCTTCCTTTTATTACACTGAGACACACAGAACACAGGATGGGTGCTCTCTCTCTCTCTCTCTCTCTCTCTCTCTCTTCCTTCTTCCACCCTCTCCATCACAGCTTTCTCTTCTCTGAGCCCTTGGAAAAGTTCTGGAAGTTAGGGTGAAACCAGAGAACAGAGAGAAGAATACACACCCAGTTGTACGCAAACTTTTCCTTTGTCCTCTAATACCCAATGTTTCTTTTGTGAACAAGTTGGTTTGCCTCAATTTTCCCTCCACTTGGGTTGAGTATATTCCTGGAAGAGCTTTTGCACCTGCACACAAATTCACCCCGTGTGCCCCCTACATATTGAGAGCGTCTTTGTAACACATGCCTAACCCATCTCACTCCACAGCATAGCTCCGCGCTCTGCCATGTAAATGGACAGCCGAACTGATGAAGCCCCATGTTGAAATCACTCTACTTTGCACTTTGTGTTTTTATTCATAGTCCCATTGTTTTAGTTAAGCTTCCTTGTACTGAATGGAAAACAGATGTTCACAGACAAAGGAGGAAAAATAAATCAACAAACTGTCCCAGTGATTATATTTTTTTATTCAATCATGCCACAGTTGCTCGCTGACCCCCAACCATTGCCCTGCGCTGGGTGCAGAGTGGGCAGATGAGATGAATCAGGCTTGATCCCTACCCTCAGAAAATGTGCACTCTAGTGAAAGTGGAGTTGGGTGGGAGTTGGAGGAATTAAAAATGCTACAGGACCATAAGACATGGTCAAAAGAGCTGCCTGCCACACAAAGGACATATTGGTGGAGAGTGAGCAGGGTGCAGACAAAAGAGATCTCCCTTCTGGCTTATAGACCAGGTGGCATTCTTACTGGGTCTTGAGAAATGGGTGGGATTTGGGTATGTGGAGATGAGAGTAAGAATTATCGACGCCCCCAAAGAGAAAGCAGCATGAGCAAAGGGATTGAGTTGGGAAAGCACGTCCCTGTATGCTTGGAGTGAGTGAGTTACCGAGTGCTGGCAATAATGAGCTACTGCGTGGCCTAAGGAAGTGAGGTTAGCACAAAGCCAAGACAGAATCCATAGGACCCTAACATGTTGGACAAAGCAGAGGCTGTGCAAAGTTCAAGCAGAGATATAGGCTTCTGCTTCTGGAGACCAACGTCAGAAACCAGAGCTATATCTGTTCCCATGAAACAGGTTATAGGGCTCTGGTTATAGGAGTTTACTTACTCCTCAGCTATGGGAGTTGACCTTTTCCATGACTGATGGTCAAATTCAAGAGAACTTTGATGAGAACTAAAAACTCTTTCTGGAAGCAATCACACTGTCATGGCAGTCCATTGGATAGCTACCTTGCCTTGTTCGCCATCCTGTTCTTCATGCTACAAACATGTCATCCAGGAGGAACAGGGGAGAGTGACAGAGCAGAGAAACTTGCTGGCAGAAGTCCTGAGTCTGAATGCAACTCCAGCTCCCGTGTACCCTTGCACAAGTTACTGAGAATTTTGGAGAGTCTGGAACCTCATCAAAAGAAGGAGAATAGCAGTCCTTGCCCAGCCTTCCTCTTAAGATTGTCATGAGGCTTAAACAAGAGAATGAGTACAAAAGTGTTTGTAGACCGTAGTGCCGTGTTATGAATAACAGTGTCTACAGTGTTAAGAAATGTCTAGAACTTTGTAAAATGTTGCTTTTGTTCAACGATCCTGGAGTAACAGCCAGAGTGAAAGATTCTACTGCAGAAAAGGAATAAGACTGCTTTTATAACATCAGAATTACAGATTATGCTTGCCTCTTTCGTACAGAATAACTTATTACAGCATAAACTAAATACAAGGTTCTGAACACATACTCGCTTTTCCAGTCATCACATCTGCAAGTGTGCACACGCACACTCCTATGAGCTCAGAGGACACAGACGGAACAGACACATTTCCATTCTCAGATCATTACATGTTTAGTGAGAAGAGCCCAGAGCCAGAGTTCTCCTCTCCGGGTCAGAGCTGCATATCTTGGAGCGAACGTACAGGGGACCCCTTAAATGACGTGGAGCAGATGACTGTGTCCTTTTCTCCTCCAAGTCCTGGTCAGACAAGCATACTGGGCACAGGTAGCTCTGTCCTCAGATTTGGCGCACTCTCCCACATTTTTTTAAACTAAATTCTTTTCAAGCAGCTCTTTCTATGAAAATATACACATCAAAAGAATGTCCCAGCTGTCATGTTGGTGGCCAGGACCCATCAGTGGGCACCTGTTTTCTAGAATCTTATCCCCATCAAAAGCCACCTTCCAAGGTATAGAGCAGTCAAGCCCACTTGACTGTGGGATCTCACAGGGCTAAAAGCCTGTCCTCCCCAGCCCATCTCCCCCACAACAGGCAGCCTGATATTCAATGTGTGCAGTGGCAGTAAATGGTTCACATCACAGCATAAGATTGAGACATGTGTGTATCAAGTCTGTAAAAGATCTGGCAGGTAATTAACTGAATTCCATCGGAGAGTTGACTTCCATCTCTAACTGGTCTCTTAATATCCACTTGTCCCTCCAATGTCACGGAGCACCCACTTCATGGGGTCACCAGCTTCCATTGCCTTTTGAACTATTGGGGCGGTGGTCTTTGGGTCAGCCTGAAGCCATTCCCACTGTGCCCTTTACCCACTGAGCATGCACCGGGCACAGGTGGGAGCCTTCTCTCCCACGAGAGAGAATTCAAGTATTTGCAAACAATTCTTACATCCCTTGACAATACTCCCAACCCCACTTTTCCAGGTAAAGCATTTTCTCACTACCTCTAAGTTACAGTCAATTTCAAGTACAATCTTCAAAATAAGTCCCTTTGGACAAAGATTTTAGGGCTCTTTGGCTGGTGGGGAAATGGAGTCTTCCCTCCCTGTTTCCTGCCAGCCTTGTTGAATTGCTGAGGATGGGCCTTAGGACCAAGGTAAGAGCAACTCAGAATCTCAGAAAGACAGACAGACGCTCATGGGTTTTAGTTTAGTTTAGTTTTGTTTTGAACACACCTTGAGCCCAAGCTTGGCAGGATGCCTGGCATTCATTTGGACATTAAGCCCTGGTATTAGCAAAAGGTTGCCTCCTTCCACCTGGTGAATAACAAGCCTATTCTTTGTTCGACTGTGAGATCACCCCAAACACCCAGCCCTGCTGGAGCTTTGTAACTGGGAGGTATTTGGAAACAACAGAAGGTTCACTCAGGAGATCTGTGTCTGAGCCCTGGGTCTGCTCTCCTCATTCTGAATCTCAGTTTTCTCACCTATAAAAGTGGACAAGAAGTCCTTCCATGCCTGAGTCCTGAGTGAATCGTGCAATTCAAATGAGCTAATAGAGGTGACAGTGCCTGGAAAGGGGCTCTTCTAATTGGGAATGCACTTGCCCAGGACTAAGTTGTAGACCATCTCCAGCTTGCCCTGTCCACAGCCCTCCACTCTTGAAAAATGAGAAAACTACGAGTTTTAGAAAAAGACATTCAGAGCTACCATTATCTCTGCTGCAGCTGACTTTGTAAAAGGAACATTTCTTTCTGTGCCAAAGAAGACAATGATTCTGCAGCCTACTTAAATGATTCTTCACACCCTATTTTAAAACCAGAAGCAACAACATACTTTCATGGCTGAGAAACACCATGTTTCCAGAATTATCTGCAGTCCCAGAGCCTCCAGCCATGCTCAGGAATTCAGCCAGGGAAGGGAATGCATGTAGATGCTATGGATAAGGAGCAAAACCAGCTTGGGACTCATCCCCTGTCCAGAACATTCACTTAGGATTTGATGTTTGTAATAACAATTTTGCTTTTGCTTTAAAATACTATCTGTGGATATTTTCCTAAAACTCAGAGTTGTCTGCTGAGCTAACAGAGATCTGGATGTTTTCTATGCTAAATGTATCCAAGACAACAAAATTGTAATGACGATAAAACAAGGGCAATTTATTGAAGCTTCAAACTTAAGAAATGTGTAGATTGCGTAAGGACTTACATCAATTGATAAACTATAATGTTGTGGTACAAGACCAACTTTTCTCAAAAATAATAGCACAGGGGAGTGGAAATACTTGGAGTTGGACCTGTATCTTTGCTAAACTGAAAGAGTCAATTCTACGGGATTCTACAAGGAACTTTTCCAGAGTAGTAGTTTTCCTAAATTCTACCCGTCTTTGACATTTGAGTCCCATTGCCAATGGAATTAATAGAGAACCACTAGTCTGAATCTTTCTGTCTCTAAAATGGCTCATCTGGTAGCAGGCTGTTAAAGACCCACACAGTCGGGGCGCCTGGGTGGCTCAGTCGGTTAAGTGTACGACTTCGGCTCAGGTCATGATCTCACGGTTTGTGGGTTCAAGCCCCGCGTCGGGCTCTGTGCTGACAGCTAACTCAGAGCCTGGAGGCTGCTTCAGATTCTGTGCCTCCCTCTCTCTTTCTCTCTCAGAAATAAATAAAACATTAAAAAAAATAAAAAGACCCACATAGTCATCTCAAGAGCATCTTGCCAACTTCAGGGCTCCCCTAGCCAGACTTATCGTTCTACTTTTTCATTTTGTACTCAGCCCCACAAATTATGTGAGGGGTCCAGCTTGGATTCCTGGGAGAGAAACTAGAGTAGCACATATCGAAAGAGCATCAAAAATTAAGAATTTCAAGATGGCAACAGCAAAGCATGAAACTAAATGTGGGGCCCTTATAAGCATGGGGCCCCAGGTGAATGCACAGGCCTTGTGCTCACGAAACCAGGAGACTGTACTTCGCAGGTTCTTTGCCAAACTCCTGATTAATGATATCTGAGGAGTGGAAGAGAAGTGTTTCACTTTTTGGGTGAGGCAGTGGAAAGCCCTTGCACCTTCTTCAGTCTCTTCATTTCCCATCACAGCAAATGTGGAGTTCTTGTTTCCAGCCGGTGGAGCCAACAGGTTGAAGCAGTGACCACTGAGGAGAGCTAGTCTACAGAGTCACCTGGGCCATGAAAGAAGCTCTTGTGTGTTAAGCCACTGAAAGAAGGGACTTGTTTGTGACTGAAGTATGAGCTTAGCCCATCCTTCCAAATATGTAGGGGAAACTCTGAAAGTACTAGGCAGGAAAGGACACCATACAGTGAAGACTGGTGTAATGGCTCTCATGCACTTGTCTTTCCATCAATAAAATAAGAACCCAAAGGTGATCTTTCACATGTTACAATTCTATGGCTACACATATTGCTACTTTCTCTCAGTTCATTTAAAAAATATGTTATCTAAGAAAAAAAGATTATATATTCCCCTTGTCCTTTAGCCTCCCAATCTCTGGGCCCATTGCCATCGTTGGTCCATATTGATTCACCAATACCTTCAGTCCTTTCAGAATCAAGAGGAAGGCACTCTTCTTGGGGGCAGTGTTCTGCTTTGTAGAAAGTATCTTATCAGGTAAACTTGAATTTGCGACCGTGATTGAATAGACTTTTTGTTCCAAAAACTCCAGGTGATTCTGTAAGGGTATCACTGTTAGAAAACCACTGAAACTGGTCCCTGTTGTCATCGTCGCTATGCTTTACCAACTTGATATCACTTTGGCCTCAGAGTTGTTCCTCATTGCTCTCAAACACCGGGTTGCTGTAAGACACTCCCCTGCCACATTCTGGCATGTCGGAGTAGGACATTTGGTTTAGCGGGGGCCAGCTGGGGTCATCTGCCAAGGCCCTCTGCCAGATCCGATACTGGCTTTTCGACTGATAGCCAAAACACCTTTTGAAGGTCATCCACAGGGCTCGATTTTCAATAATGGCCTCCTGCAAAACAAAAGAGTTACTCTTTACAACCGGAAGTCAAGGCCATGGCCCTCCATAGGCCCTAAGAAGGAACTACCACGTTGGCTGCTTAGATCCAGCTTGACAAAAACAAAACAAAACAAAACAAAACAAAACAAAACAAAACAACCTTGAGGCCTGTACGAACAATTCCAATGTGGTTTCACGGGATAGGTCTCGGCCTCTCAAGCTTTTCTACCCAAGGGACTCTTCTAGGAGAAGAGAGAGTTCCCAGTTTTAAGAATCTGGAAGCACAGCTTGAAGTAGTCTGCCTCAAGGATGAAATTCCTTTTGAATCTCATAAATAAATTATATTTAAAATCATTCAAATTCTGCACTCTTCTCCATACCACACCCCCATGGAATTACCCTGTAGAAGGATGTGCCACACATACGATGTGCCTTTGGTGTGCCTGCCACAGTCATGAACATAGGTCAGTAAGATTGGAATATGGGCCACGATCTTAAACTTGGACAGATCTGGATTCAAGTTCCAGCTCCGACATCTACTATGGACAAATTAGTTACCTTCTCTGAGCCCCAGTGATTAGAAATAACAATTCCTTCCTTGTGTAACTCTCCTTACAATGCAGGGCAGGGCATTGCATAGGTGCCTCCCTTTACCGTCTTTCTGAATTATTTATTTCACAAATAGCTATGTACTGTGGCCCTGCTCACTGTGGCCCCTAACCTTCATTTACAAAGTGTTTCATTACAATGCATTTTTTTTAAGACTACAAAAGATATGCCTCTTTGGAAAGATTTTGGACTGCCATTCTATTTCATGAGTTAGACTGAGCCTCAAACAGAGCCCAAGTTATAACTTATAATACAGAGTGTATAAGAGGTTATTCTGTTATTTTTTCATTTTTATCATAAGTCATAAAAGTTAACCATCATAAAAGTTACAAAAAAAAAAAAAACAAAAAGAAAAATATGAGAAGCCTGCTGTCCCACAGAATTAGAACTCATTTTGGTGTCTACCAGTGGTATCTTTGCTAAACTGAAAGAATCAATTCTATGGGATTGTACAAGGAATTTTGCCAGAGTGGTAGTTTTCCTAAATTCCACCCATCTTTGACATTTGAGCCCCACTGCCAATGGAAATAATAGCGAACCATTAGTCTGAATCTCTCTGTCTCTAAAATGGCTCATCTGCTAGCAGGATGTTGAAGACCCACACGGTCATCTCAAGAGCATCTTGCCAACTTCAGGGCTCCCCTAGCCAGGCTTGTCATTCTACTTTCCCACAGCAAGGTTGTTTTTCTTTTCTTTTCTTTTCTTTTTTCTGTCCTTCTTATTTAATAAGAGAACAGTAGTTCTCCATCCATCTGGAACAGGGCAGGATCATAGGATCCATTGATGGTCTTAAAGTATAACTTACCTCTAGGAAATATTACCAGGTCTTAAACAAAAAAAAGAAAAGAAATGAAACAAAACAAAACACAAATACAGACACACATGGAAACTTTAGTGCTGAAGACATGCCTTGGTATTCTCATAATTCTATAAGTATAATGGCCTGTATCTGGAAAGGGAAACTGAAGCACTGAGAAGAAACCTGTTCTGTCAGTCCACATTATAAGTTAAATGTAGAACTAGAAACAAAAGGAATCCCTTGGAGTGCCTGGGTGGCTCATTTGGTTAAGCATCTGACTTCAGCTCAGGTCTTGATCTCACGGTTCATGAGTTCAAGCCCCACATTGGGCTCTGTGCTGACAGCTCAGAGCCTGAAGCCTGCTTTGGATTCTGTGTCTCCCTCTCTCTCTACTTGTACTCTGTCTCTCTTGCTTTCAAAAATAAATAAAACATTAAAAAAAGAAACAAAAAAGGAACTCTTTGATGAAATATCATTCCTAAAACAAAACAAAACAACACAACACAAAAAGCACACAAAAACAAAACTTCACCACACAAGCTTTTCAGATTGGCTACTAAAATAATTCACACATACCTGTATATACACAAACATGTAAGTAATAAAAATGGAGAAGGAATAAAGCTCTCCAGATTAGCTCCTACACCTTGCAGTTGGAGGTCAGACCATGAGAAAGCAAGGTAAGGATAAGGTCCCATTCAAAATTGTTTGTTGGGCTGCTCTAAGATTAGGGATAATCTTAGCCCTCTCAGCGGACCAGGCAATATGGCAACAGAAGGCCAGCCACCCCCCATGTCTGTCCCTTGAAACCTCTCTGGACCATCTGTGTCACAGGCTGGCCAGGTACAATGGAGTTAGCACAGGAATCTTCACTATCTCCTGTCAGATAACACCTACAGCTATGTGAGGGAAACATTTTTGCTGCATCCATGATAGTCTGTGGTTGTTACCTACTCTGCTAGGCTCACCTCATCGGGCATGAAATCTTAGTGTCTGTAATTCTCCATTACAACTGCCTTCCACCACAGACCCAAATGCCTACTGACAGCAGAAGGGTAACTTCGAACAAGTGGAGACTGCAGTGCAGGGGCCTGGGGGTGAGAGCTAGGACCCCACAGTGTTATTTCTCAGTGTGAAAGCTGCTGGGAACCTCCTCTAAACATCCATACCGGTCTCCATTTCTCACTGGGCTCAAGAAACAAAGGAGAAACTTAATCTTTCATGAGTATCATATTACCCTCTCCATCTGCTGGAGGCGAGCAGGGAGGCGAGCAGCATCACTTCTGACATTTAATAATTGAACAAAGCTTTACCCAGCTTCCATTAGAATAAAGCAGGGTTTTAGACGCTGTAGGTACTGAGATGAGCTCTTGCCAGCACAGTTTATGTCTGTAGACAATCTACACACAGATAACTGTAGCACTGGTCCTCTTCCTTGCTGTAGATGCAGAGGAATACCCCTCCGTCATCGGGATCTGCCTCGAATTGCACCCTGGGTCATGGCACATGGTCAAAAAATGTTTGGGGAAAGAGTGAATGAACAAACGAAAGCCTGCATGAGTGATAGATATGAACTAATAAATGCTAAGAACCACAAGAGACAACATAATAATAATAGTCGATATTTATTGAACATTTATTACGTGCTCCTCTGGGTTCACATTTCATGCTCACAGTAACCCTATGAGGTCAGGTACTCTGATTATCATGATTTTTCAGATGAGGAAACAGAGACACAGAGACATGGAGGAGCAAGTGCTGCCCAGAGTCAGGCGGCAAGGAAGGGGTGGAGCTGAGATTCCAAGCCGGGAGGACTACTTCCGGCTGATGCAGTCTGGCTCACTGCAAGCATGGTGGCAGGGAATGGCTTCCTGCTAGAGGATTACGGCGGACTTTGTTGCTCAGTTACCCTGTAACACATTCCTCCCAACCTTTACCTCCCCACCTAAGAGGAAAAAGCTCACATACAACCTGAGCAAATCTGTCTACCTTTTTGGCATAGATCCACTTTCCCAGAATCCTTTTCTACTCAGGATGACAATAAGACAGAGTTCTGACCAATGAGGCATAAGAGGAAGTCTTCAGGGTGGCTAGAGAAAATGTCTGTTTCCTTATAAAAGCTTCATACTTAAGGACAAAAAGCCTGCTAGTGCCTCTCTTTCCTTTTTTTTTTTTCCTGCATCAAAACAGAGATAAAACCCAGCTATGCGGAAGCTATCAGGACACCATAAGCAATACGCGCAAACGTCAAAGGCCAATATCTAAAGATGGGGAGGCAGAAAAGGGACAGGTTGATGATCCCCAATGACACCACTGAGTTGCTACACCAACCCTAAAGCATTTACCTCCAATCTTCGTGTTAAGTGAGTCCATAAGTATCTTGACTGTTTAAGCCACTGTTACTTGCCTAACCCATCGAGGCTTTGGGAAAGCCTCATGAAGAGGGTGCTACCCGTGCCACAGAGGATGGAATAACATTTCGGTAAGAAGATACTGGGGGAAGCTACACTAGACAGAGTAAATAATGTGATCCCTGCCAGGGACAAGGTCCATGCATGAGATTATCTCTTAAAGGGCAAGGTTCATCCTTCTGCAGCTAGTACGAGGACACTCATGTGATGCTCTCTTGTTAATCTGGTGGCTTTGGAGACCGTCTGGGTGAGCACGGTACTTCACGGTGTGGTGCCTCAACCAGCAGTATAAGAATCACGTGACAACCCGTTAGAAACAAACGCCTGTGCCTATTCTAGACCTTTGAATCCGAAATGCTGGGGGAAGGGCTGGACAACCTGGGTGTTGATAAGCCCTCCAGGTGACTCTGATACCCACTCAAGTTTGAGAAGCCCTAGATCTGCATACAGAGAGAGGCTCCCATACTTTAATTCCATGCCCTGTTCAGCCACCGGCTCCTGTGTGGTTTTTACCCTGCCTATTAAGGAAGGTGGGGCGGGGAAGCCAGGTGGGGAAGTTCCCCGTCACTGGTGCAAGGCTGTGTTTGCTACCGGACTGGGGACAGATGGAATGTGATGCTCACCTCCCGTTTGACACAGACGTCTTTTCTAGGGGTGCCTTTGTTCTCCAGGAGGCTTTGAGGAATGGAGATTTGGTCTAAATAATAGCACTGAAAGAGGAGAGAGCGAACTGCATGGCCAGAGAAAGGAGAGCACAAACTCATTTTACTGAGGAAATGGAGCACATGTGAGGTGAGGAATAAAATCCAAGAAAAACTCACTATGGATCTTATTTCCCATCTGTAAGGTAAAAGAATTAGAAATTGTTAAGTGAAAGAAGCCAGACACAAAAGGCCACATATTATATGATTCCCTTTATGTGAAATGTCCAAAAGAGGTAAATCCACAGGGACCGGAGGTAAATTAGTGTTTGCCAAGGGGCAAAGAAGGGGGAAGGGGGGATGAGGAATGACTGCTAATGGGTACAGGATTTCTTCTAGGGTGATGAGAATGTTCTGGAATTAGTGGTGATGGCTGCACAACTCAGTAAATATACTACAAACCACTGAACCGTACACTTTTTAAGAAGGTGAATTTTATACTATGTGAATCATATTTAATTTCAAAAGATGGATTGAGTTGGTTCTCTATTTGTGGATTTTAGAAACAAACACGACCTTAGACATCATAATCCCATTCTCTTCAGGCCCACCATATAGATGAGAAAATTAACACCTTGTTTGGAATTCACCAGAAGAAAGCACCTGCTCATGTGGCCAGGGAAGGGGGCCCCTTGCACTGCTGAGTCTTATCAGCTAAAGCTGTTCTTTTTTCAGGCTCCAAAAGAGTTCCCCGTCCATCCCCACCTGCAGTGATCAGCAGCCTGCGGGCACTTACCTCCACCACAAGGGACACTATGAAATTGGAGCTGAGCATAATGATGATGTAAACCCTCCACAGAAGGGGAGTGCAGAGAAGCTGGTGGAAGATGGAGAATCACTGTTAGTTTCAAGACAAATAAATGTCAGAGAAATGTTCACACATTGACAGCATGCATTTTCATAGGTTATAAATCATGTGTATAGCAGACATGCTTATATGTATACATTATGTATATGCATATTCGATGCACATGCATATATAATGGAACTATGATTGCTGCTTTATTCTCTTATCTCTCTTTTGTCTTCGTTTTTTGGCGCCCCTGTAATTTCTAAATTTCCTCAAATACATTTGATCGAAATTTGACAAATTTGTTTTCAATTTTTTTGCCTGCATTGCTTGCTTTTATGAGGGACTACAGGAAGGTGGCTGTATTCGCAGGAGGCTCTGAGGGTTTGTCACATCAAACCTGTTGCCCTCTTCTCTCTGGTGCCGCCTCTCCCCTCAGCTGAGCCCTGCTTTTGAGCCTCGAGCCAGAGCTTCACCCTCAGGGCTGAGTGCACATGACAAGGGTACTCACCAGTGGAGCAAGCAGGGCTGACATCAAGCTGTCACTTCATGCCTTTCTTTCCCACTTTCTCTGTGTCTTCCCCAGTCCCTCCCCAGGCACATTATATATATAGTGAAGATACTTGGCTTAAATGGATGGATGGATGGATGGATGGATGGATGGATAGATGGATGGATAGATGGATGGATGGATGGATGGATGGATGGATGGATGGATGGATAGATGGATGGATGAAATGAAACCAAGTGCACATTGTTGTACCCTGCAGTGTCTCATACACTACCTTCTACACTGAGGGGATTACAATCCGGTACAACTCTAATGGAGGGCAATGCCATTAAAATTAAAAGTTCAAAACCATTTCTGGGAATTTATCCTAGAGACATACTAGCGCATGCCTGAAATGGTATATGTATAAGGTTATTGTATTGCAGCTTTGTTTGGAAGAGCAAACCACTGGAAGCAGCCTCAATGCCTATCAATAGGGGGCTACATATAAATTATGGTACATGTATGTATATTGAAATAATGTGGTAGCGTAAAAAAAGGAATGAGGAAGCTCTATGTACTGTTTGGAACAGTTACCAAAATTCACTGTCCCACGCTAGGACACAGTGTGATGGGGGCAGCCACGCGCATGCCCCACGTGGGTCCCCTGCTGGGAGACTGAGTGGCAGGTGCTCCCGAGTCACCTTTGGAATCTCCGACCACGTTCGCCCCGAGCCTACACTCATGAGCTGCTCAGAGCTAATACCTGAGGATGGCAGGCTTTCCAGTCACACTCATTCTCGCGAGACACCGGCCACCTCCGATGGGCAACTTGACTCGGCTTTCTTAGAACTGCCCTGCTGTCTGAAACCCACCCCTCTGGCCCTCCTACCCCTGCTTCTCCGTGGGGGTCAGACCTACATCATAGTGTGGGACCCTCCCCACCTTGTCGAGCTTCCCCGTCTCTTTGCCCACAGGCATTTCCTCCAGAGCTTGCTCGTGTGTCTCATCTCACTTTGCCACCTTCAGCTCAGAAGACCTGGACCAATGTAATAGTCTGCTATTTGCGTGAGAAGGTGCCAGAATACACATATAAGAAACGTGTGTGTGTGTGTGTGTGCAGGCATATGTATAAAATATGCTCAAAAGTATAAAATGAAGTATTGTCATCAGTTTCCTCCAGAGAGGAGACCCGGTGGCAGAGGAGGAAGAATGAGAGGTTTGAATGTTTTAACTTTTGAATAACAAACTATGTGACTGTATCTCTATTTTTTAAAAAATTCATGCAATTTTTTAAAATGAGCAATACTTAGGTTACAAAACAGCATGATTCCGTTTAAAATATACTGCATAAATCAGTCAATGCACATTTATAATATATGAAGTTTTAAAGATGGAAGGATATCGTGAATAATGTTATAATTTTCTCTGCCTGCATATTCACGTTTTCTAGAAGGTACCTGCAATTTTATGTAATAAGAAGAAAAATGGTTATTTTCAGGGTGAGCAATACTTCTCTGCAGACTCCTTGGCAGTCATGTCGGCAATGACCCACACTGGTCCCCCTGAAACTAAACAGGCTCCCTATTTTGTCGTACCAGAGGAATCAGCCTCTCTGTTGGAGTCTTCACGCTTAAAGAGTGTGACTAAACCCAACATATCTTAACCCTAACTTCTGCAGGATTAAGAAGTTTTAACTCAGAAGGCTAGCAGGCAAAAACTATCTCCATGACCACTTACTGTAATTCACGAACATAATTAACAATAGTGGCGACTACGCTGTTAACCACAGTGATACAATTATCCAGAGGAAAATCAAATGTGGACATTAGTTCGTATGCCACATGTCAGGAAGGGTGTGTGAAGGTTTTGCCGGTTTGCAAGGAACTGTGAGTTCCCAGTGGTCATCTCCATTTAGGAAGCTGATGTACAATGATCAGTCATTTACTGCCATTATGTGCCACGGGCTATGTTAGGCACTGGTAATATGAGAATGAATAAGATAGGACCTTGGCCTTCGTGACATGTGTCTTTGAGTCAGAGAGGCAAGCAGCCTCATGCAGCAGTAAGTAAAAAAGTCCATTCCTTTTTACCATCTCTTCTGTATTCTATTTATTGGTCTAAAGGACATTTGGTAATATTAAGCTTCTAGTTCAAAAGTATAGGTTAAAAGAATTGAAATATACGTTCCCCTTGCTTGTATATGTAAAAATTGTCTCTTATAGAGTTTGACATTTGTCTCTAAGAGAGTTAATGAGGTAAGTTATGGCTCTTTGCAAACAAGTTTTGCAGACATTAAGTATGAGCATATAAACACGTCTTTATAGTTTTTATAGAAAAAAGATGTAAGTACAGATTTGAGGATTAACAGAAAAAGTGTTATAGGCAAACTGTTTTCAACAGCTTCAAAACAGAAGCATTTAGGGCAAAAAAAAACCCCTCTCATGCTTGAAAGAAAATATATATAGATGTTTCCATTCTTACAGGGATCTTTTAAAAGAAAAATGTTCAATGCTTCTGAAATACTTGAAATCAAGACTAGACAGAATCTTATTTCCTGGCCAGCTTAAATGTTAAAAATACAAATAAATGTAGTATTCTTTTTAACTCTACTATTCCAAAAGAATAATCAGTGTCAAGAATTCATGTCAATTGCAATTGTGACCTGCTTCATGCAGTCAGCGTGTTAGATAACTATAAACCCTCACCATAGCCCAGAGATAAGACTTACATCCAAACGCCTATATAATTCTGGAATATCAGCAAATAGAATGAATAGACACACACTCAGCTGTATGACCAGCACAACGACAAATATATCTGAGGAAATAAGAACACAAGCTATCATTTAGAGAAATCGGAGTATATACTGAGTTTCACATCTCTTGATAGACATATTCTAGATTAACACTGATTAAGTTTACTTGATTCTTACATCCAAACACAGCATAATAAGTGGCAAGCACTCATTTCTATGCAATGGGTCTCACCTCCACAATTTCTATGCATGTCCTTGAGGCAGATGGAAATTTTCACATGCATGTTGTAAGTTTCAATGAATAAAAGTGGGAAACAGAGAGAGAGCAACATTGACCTAATATATTTTCAAAAAATGCCTTGAACACAGTTAAATATCTGAGTCTTTTTAATGCAAATCACCTGCTTCAAATTCTTTTTTGGGAAAAAGGAAGGCTGTAAATAAATATTGAAATTGCAGTCATGTAGAGGCCAACATTGGACTGCTTTCTCATACCAAGAAGGAGAAAGGCAAAATAATTTTGTCTACACAAACAAATTTTTATGAGGATATTGATCCTTCGACTTGTGCTTCTAACTTTTCCAAATTAGGGGCGCCTGGTGGCTCAACGGTTTAGGCATCCGACTCTTGATTTCGGCTCAGATCACGATTTCACAGTCAATGGGTTTGAGCCCCACATCGGCCTCGGCGCTGACAGCATGGAGCCTGCTTGGGATTCTCTCTCTTTCTCTCTCTCTCTGCCTCTCCACTGCTTGTGCACGTGCTCTCTCTCTCTCTTTAAAAATAAATAAACTTAAAAATAAATAAATAAATAAATAAATAAATAAGTAAATAAATAAATAATTTTTCCCAATTTGAGAAGCAGTGATGGGATACAAATAAATATTCCACAGGCTAAGCAGGTCACCCACGTCTCCTAACACGCACCCCACCCCAGTCCAGAATGTAAGGAGGCAGCATGCACTTTGGCCAAGAGCCTCCACAATTACTATCGCCAGGGTCCTTCAGGCTGAACCCACTCCCAGGCCGCCAACCACACAATGCCATCTTAACTGTTGTCTTCAAGGCAGGGGACATGTCCCAGCTGAGTGCTGGGACACCTCCCTCTGTCCACTTCCTCCCAGATGAATTCTGACAGGTACTGACAAGTGAGGAAAGAAATGAGTTGTCCCAATTTAGAGTGGTGCCAGTGAAAAGGTACCTGGAGACAAACTTTCAGTGAAGGAAAGAGGCAGAGAAAGAAGCCCTAGAATTTAATGCAGCTTTGAGGAAAGGAGCAAAGAATGAGGCTGCAGAAGGTGTTTTACAGAGCCCTGGAGTAAAGTTAGGAGGCCCAGATAGGCATCAACTCCGCTGCTGCTCCCCCAGTGACCTGGGCAAGTCTGTTCCCTCTGATGACCTCTCACCTCTGATCTGGTACAACGCTACTCACAATTCTTATATATGGGCTGCCTGAATGGTTTTCCTTTAGAGAAAATGAGAGCCACAACGATACAGTTGATGGTTCCCAAGAACCATATGGTAGTGTTTTCGAAGCTTGTGAAGGCACCGTTACTTCCAATTTTTTCTGGAACAGTGGGAGAAACGGTTAACTTTGAGATGCTTTCATTTTGTACTGTGCAGGCACTAAAAAAAAAAAAAGGAAACAAAAAAGGTAATGAAGTAAGAAGACAGGTTTCTATAGCATTGGTATCTATAGGATTCCATGCCCTCAATGTTTTCGTAATTACCTACACTTTGGGAAAGAATATACTGAAAAACAAGGAGAAAGAAACCATCACAGATCAATCTTTTGGATAGATGAATAGATAAAAGATAGATATATGATAGCTAGCTAGCTAGCTAGCTAAACAAGTTATTTATTCAATAATTTGGATGCCCATCATGTATAGTAAGGTTATGTGGGAAAGAGATGAGTAAGCTATGATTTTTTCCTCTTGTGTCTTAAGACCTCTGAACATTGATAAATAGGGTGACCACATAATTTATCATCCAACAGGAACAGATTTGAATGTGAAAAGAAAAGACTAATATCTTCAGAAAAATTAGTTACTGCCAGAGGAGCAATGCATAGAGGGGGTGAAAAAAACAGAGAAAGGGGATTCAGAGGTCCAAACTTGCAGTTACAAAATGAATAAGTCATGGGGATGCAAATTACAGCAAGGAATTGCAATCAAGAATATCATAATAACGTATGGTGACAGATGGTCACCACTTAACCACGAATGATATAAAGAACTGTCAAACTGATAGCTTGTTACAAGTGTAACATTGTATGCCAATTATACTTCAACAATTAATTAACTAAAAAATAATTTCATTGGGATATCAGACTTAGTCTGGGGCTGCCTGGGAAAATTATAACGCATGGTCACCCTAGACATAAAAGAAAGTCATGGATCATTACCACACAAGACAGGCAAAGGTAAGTGTCAATGAATAATATCCTCAACCTGTGCTACAGAGAAGAGAAGATCGCTGGAAAATTTCCCAAGGGACTTAAAGAAGCCAGCGCCTCCAGAGGAACGAAGAACAATTTGTTTCCTGTTTTAAGGGCCAGGTGATGGTTGAAATTAGAATGTGAGAAGCTGGAACAGAGCTGTGACAGTACCTGTGCGGCTCCATGGAATACCAAGGCTGCCTCTGGACCAGAATGAAGCCCACGATGTGCATGGCTAGGCTCAGAAGAATGTTGAGAATCACAGACAGCAGCAGAGGTGGGGAGGTGAGCCGTCCTGCAGGCCTGAAAGGCGCCAGCTTGGGGTAGGCGCCATTCAGATTCACTACAAAGTAAATTCAAGTGTTATGCTTGTGAGAGAAGGAAAACATTGTATTCTTCATCAGAAGAACAGTGTAACTTCTTGGGCCCACACAGCCAAGGAAACTGACAAATCGAAATACATCAGGGTTTTGAGGGGACAAAATACAATGAATGGATTCACACTCAAGTCATATGAGCAATTCTTAAGAGAGCAGACAAAACAATCATGAAATGCTTTTATTCTTGCCTATTAAATAGGCAAAGACCATCAAATTAGAGGTGAGGACATGATGAAATGCACACTTTTATACACTGCTTGTGGAAACATACATTGACACAAACCTGCAGGGCAATTTGGCAATAAATATGAAAACATTGGAAAATGTTCATAAGATTTGACATGGTTATTCCACCTTTGGAAATTTATCCTAAGCTAAAAAAAATCAGAAAGGTGCTCATCACTTACAGTAAACTATGGTACATCTCTATAATGAGGCAACAGGCAGTCAAGAAGAAGTAATGCTTTAAAATATTCAATGACAATGGGGCATGTAGGTGGCTCAGTTGGTTAAGTGTCTGACTCTTGATTTCGGCTCAGGTCATGATCTCACGGTCTGTGAGTTTAACATCTGCGCTGACAACTCAGAGCCTGGAGCCTGCTTCGGATTCTGTATCTCCCTGTCTCTGTCCCTCTTTCTCTCCCACTTTGTCTCTCTCTCTCTCAAAAATAAATAAACATTTTTTTTAAAAAGCAACTATTTGAGCAAATATAAAAGGCTGTAGGGGTGCCTGGGTGGCTCAGTCGGTTAAGCGTCCAAGTTGGGCATAGGTCATGATCTTGCAGTTCATGGTTTTAAGCCACACATTGGGCTCTGCACTGATGGTGCAGAGCTTGCTTGGGATTCTCTCTCTCCCTCTCTCTCTGCCCCTCCTCCACTCACACTTTCTCTCGTGATATATATATGTGTGCGTGTGTGTGTGTGTGTGTGTGATGTATATATATGTGTGTGTGTATATATGTGTGTGTGTGTGTATATATATATATATATAGCTGTATTATTGTATTTTTGAGTTCTAATTCCATGTTTTATTTCTACATGGTTTAAAAGATGGGCACATAAAAGATAATATATATCTTTATTGTTGGGCACACATGAATAAAGATGTAACTGTGGCAGCAACAATATAAAAGGAGGAGACAGAGTTGTGAAGAAGCAGAGTTTCCCCATGCTATTAAAGTTAAGATATGAATTCAAACTAGATTATGATCAATTTAGGATGCTACATGCAATCCCTTTGATTATATATCATGTAATGAAAAAGCCAGAGATAGCATCATACTCAGGGAAGGGTGAAGGACTGAAAGCTTTACCCACTATGTTCACAAGTGACATAGTCCTATATATTGGAAATCCTAAAGAATACACAAGAAAGGTACTAATGGGGTGCCTGGCTGGTTCAGTTGGTAGAGCATGCGATTCTTGATCTCAGGATCATGAGTTTGAGCCCCATGTTGGGCATGAAGCCTACTTAAAAAAATAAATAAATAAACTCCTGCTTCAGTTGTAAAAAAAAAAAAAAAAAGAAAGAAAGAAAGAAAGAAAGCTACTAGAATTAATAAACAAATTCAGCTATATTGCAAGATCCAAGATCAACACATAAAGTCAATTGTTTCTATACATTGGTAATAAACAATTTAAAAAAGAAATTAAAAGAACAATTGCACTTTCAAAAGCATCCAAAACAGTAAAAATATCTAGGAATAGGTTTAGCCAAAGAGGAGAGAGACTTGAACACTAAAAATCACAAAACTTTGCTCAAAGAAATTAAAGAAAACATAAACAAATGGCAATACATCAGATGTTCATGGATTGGAAGGCTTAATATTGTTAAGATTTCGGTATTATTTAAAGTGATTTCTAGGTTAAGCACAATCCTTATCAAAATTCAAATGGCCTTTTTTCCAGCATGCTAAAGTTGATCTTCAAATTCATGTGGAGTTATAAGAGGCCCTGAATAGTCAAAACAATCTTGAAAAAGAATAACATTGGAGGACTCATACTCCCTGATTGCAAACTTACTACAAAAACAGTAATCAGAACACTGTGGTAATAGAATAAGGTAATGGTATATAGACCAGTGGAATGGAACTGAGGATCCAGAAATAAGCCCATACAACTGTGGTCAATTGATTTTCAACTTGAGTGTCAAGACTACTCAATGGGGGAAATAACAACCTTTTCAACAAATGGTGCAGGGCAACTAGATTCCCACATGTCAAATAAGTGAATTTAGATCCCAACTTCAAATGATATATAGAAATTAACACACACACACACACACACACACAATATAAGAGTCAATAACTATAGTTATAAATATGAGCCAAAAACTGTAAAATTCTTATTAGAAAACACAAGGTAAATGTACATGACCTTAGATTTGACAATGTATTCTTAGATATGACCCTTAGAGAATGAGCTATAAAAGAAACAAAGTTTTCTACATTATCAAGAAAGCAAAAAGACAAAATACAATGGGAGAAAAGGTCTGCAATAATGTATCTGAGAAGGTTTTAACATCCACAACATGTGAAGAACTCTAGAACTCAACAATCAAAGACAAAAATCCAGTTAAGAGATGAGCAAAACACTTGAACAAATATTTCTCCAAAGAAGACATACAAATGACCAATAAGTACATGAAAATATGCTCAACATGATTAATTATTAGGGAAATAAATTCAAAGCCAGAATAAGTAACCATTCCATACCTACTGGAATGTCTAAAGTAACTTTTTTAAGATAAGAACAAGTGTTGATTAGGTGGTGGAGAAATGGAAACCCTCATACATTGTTGGTAAGAATGAAAAATATGGTCACTCTGAAAAATAGTTCGGTGGTTTCTCAAAGAGGTAATTATATGATGACTATATGACCCAGCAATTCCATTCCTATGCCAAAAATAATTTTTATAAAGATCTTTTAATGTTTTATTTATTTCTGAGAGAGAGAGAGAGAGACAGCATGAGCAGGGGAGGGTCAGAGAGAGAAGGAGACACAGGATATGAAACAGGCTCCAGGCGCTGAGCTGTCAGCACGGAGCCCGACGCGGGGCTCGAAGCCATGAACTGTGAGATCATGACCTGAGCTGAAGTCAGACGCTTAACCAACTGAGCCACCCAGGCGCCCCCAAAAATAATTTAAAACAGGGACTCAAACAGGTACTTATGCAAATATTTCTTGCAGCATTGTTTTTTACAACAGCCAAACGGAGACAGCAGCTCAAGTCAATCACCAGAAAAAATAAAGGAAATGTGGTATATACGTAGAATGGAGTATTACTCAGCCATAAAAGGAATGAAGTTCTGATACAGGTAACAATATAGATAAATCTTGAAAACATTATCTTAATTGAAATAAACCAGATACGAAGGAACAAATATTATATGATTTGACTAACGTGAAATATTATGAATAAGCATTTTTTTGGAGAGACCAATAGTAGATTAGATTAGAAGTTACCTACCAGAGGCTGGGGAGGGGAGCAATGAGGAGCTTTTACTTAATGGGTACGGAGTGTCTGTTTGGGGAGATGTAACAGTTTTGGAAGTAAAGAGTGGCAAAGGCTGCACAAAACTGGGAATGTAATTAATCCTCCTGAGCTATACCCTTAAAAATGGTAAAAGTGGCAAATTTTATGTTATGTATATTTTACCACAACAAAAATAATTAAAATATATAATGACATGAAAAGTTATTACGAAGTTAAATGAAGAAAATGTATCCACAACCATACAGAGAACATAATTCAGACTTCTTCTTATATACACACACATCAGAAATCAGAATGCTTTAATGTGTTAGTTCTGAATGGTAGGATAAAGATGGATATTTTTCCTTTGTTATATCTTGCAATGTTTTCCATCTTTTTTTGACAATGAGTATGTATTAGTAACCATAAGAATGAAAAATTGTCGAGTTATTTACCAAAAAATAGAGGAAAATCCGGAGATGCTTGTTCTTAAACAGAGACCAATTATGGAAGAAATGAGGGCTGCTTTCAAAAGTCTGGAAGAAAGAATGTTCTGGGGAGAAAACATAGACTCTGTGCCACCCCAAACGGCAGAGCTGGGATGGGTGCAAGTTACAGAGAGATTGGTTTGGCTTCATCTGAAGAAGAACCCATATAACCGTATGGACTGGCCATAGGTGTTCTTTGCAGAGATGTGACAAGTATTTTATGAGCCCCATGTATACACCAGACACTGTCAGAAGTAGAGGGGACACGGCAGTACTCAATATAGACAAGGTGCTGTTCTCACAATGCATGTGAGAGGGGAGGCAGGAAGATGCAAATAAAAACAGAGATAAAGGCATAATTTCAGACTGTGAAAGGCACCACACACACACACACACACACACACACACACACACACACAATCAGAGCACAACTGTGCTTTCTGACTCCACTGCCACCATGGTGCCCATGGAAAAGTTTGTGGTGAAGGGGGGCAAAAAAAAAAAAGCAAGTTCTGATGTTTGCCCTTGACTGCACCCACCCTGTAGATGAGGGAATCATGGATGCTGCCAATTTTGAGCAGGTTGTTCAGGAGAGCATCAGAATGAATGGAAAAGCTGGGAATCTCCGTAGAGGGGTTCTAACCACTGACAGAAGTGAGAGCAAGATTACAGTCACTTCTGGGGGCCTTCTTCCAAATGTGTTGAAACATCTCACCAAAAAAAAAAAAATATGTGAAGCGGGCACCTGCACAGCTCAGTTGGTTAAGTGTCCAATTTAGGCTCAGGCCACGATCTCACGGTTCCTGAGGTTGAGCCCCACATGGGGCTCTGCGCTGACCGTGTGGAGCCTGTTTGGGATTGTCTCTCTCTCCCTCTCTTTCCACCCTTCCTCAACTTGTGTTCTCTTGCTCTCTCTCTCTCTCAAAATAAATAAATCAACTTAAAAAATATTTGAGGAAGAATGATCTATGTGATTCATTGCACATAGTTGCTAACAGCAAAGAGAGTTACAAACTATGTTACATCTAGATTAACCAGGATGAGGAAGAGGAAGAAGAGGAGGATTAAAATGCATTTATCTGGAATATTTTGTATAAATTCTTGAATAACCTTGGCAACCCCCCCCCCCAAAAAAATAGAGCACAATTGTGTGATAAAGGATAATTGGCTTGGTGACTACTTGAAGTGACTTTCCTTAGGTGGTGACATTTGAGCTAAGATCTGAATAACAAGAAAAAGTCAAACCCACAGAAATATGGAAAGGGAGAGTGTTTTCAGCAAAGAAAAGAGCAAAAACAAAGGGACTGTGGTGACCACGAGCTTGACAATGCTCAAGCGACGTGAAGACCCGGGTGCCTGAAACAGGAAGGCAGCAATGTGGTTGTAAGTGAAGCAGAAGCAGGCGGGGGCTAAAGCATTTTAAGCAGGTGGGTGACAATAAAATTTACTTTTCACAATTAACACTCTTATGACTCTTTGAAAGGAAAATGGGGGTGAGGGGAAGCAAGATCAGTGGTGAGGTTGTTGGGGGAATCTGCAAGGGAGGTGACATGGCTCTGTATCAGGGGGTACAGAGCTTTGGAAAGCAGAGCTAACAGGAACTCTATCGGTAGGGATGTGAAGGGTAAAGGAAAGAGAAACCAAGATGGCTCCAGGTGTTCGAACGATGAGGTGGCTCGTGGAACTATTTGACCAGAATGCAAGGAAAGGAATTTGTATGGTGTTTTTTCTTTCACTGAGATATTCTAAGTGCCTATTGTGGTTAAGTAGTACAAATGGGGCACTCAAAAAAAAGCTAATGATTTTGTTGAATATTGGATCCGGGAGAAGATAAGAACGTATATTTATATGCTGATCCAGCAGACCAGAGAAAAGGGGATGATGGTGAAGAAAGAGATTATTACAGAAACAAAATCCCCAAGAAAGTAGGAAGAGGTAGGATTAAAAGTATAAGTGGAACTGTTGGCATTTAGACGTAACAGAGGGGAAAGCAGAGAATCTGGTGGATGGTGGGGAGTGGATGGGATGAGGGGGGAAGCCTACAGCAGAGAACTGGGGAGATAATTCATGTTAATCAAGAGGTGGAAGTAGGAGTGGCCTAATGGCAAGATTATCTTTAATCTTTGTTCAAAATCCAGAAAGGCTTGGGGCGCCCGAGTGGCTCAGTTGGTTAAAACCTCCGACTTCGGCTCAGGTCATGATCTCATGGTTGTGGGTTCGAGCCCCGCATCAGGCTCTGTGCTGACAGCTCAGAGCCTGGAGCCTGTTTCAGATTCTGTGTCTCCCTCTCTCTCTGACCCTCCCCTGCTCACGCTGTCTCTCTCTCTCTCTCAGAAATAAATAAAACATTTGAAAAAAAAATTTTTTTTAATCCTGAAAGGCTTTAGATTTAGAGATCTAAATCAGGGGTGCCTGGGTAGCTCAGTCGGTGAAGTTTCCAACTCTACGTTCCAGCTCAAGTCATGATCTCCTGGTTCATTAGATAGAGCCCCGCATGGGGCTCTGCGCTGACAGCATGGAGCCTGCTTGGGATTCTGTCTTTCCCTCTCTCTGCTCCTTCCCCACTTACTCTCTCCTTGGAAGTAAATAAATAAACTCAAAACAAAAAATCTAAAACATAAAAGCTATCCAGCTTCTATAAAATGGGCACATTTTAACTGTGATTACACCTGAAAGCAAACTCAAGTCAGCATTCCTGATTTTCAAAGTGCATTTTTCATTTTAAGTCTTTGGTGACCATTATGGAAGCCCTGTAATTTTGTGGAAAACAGAAAAACAACTCGCCAGCTTTTCCTTGGCTGATACTTTTCTTTCAACCCAACACTCAAAAACGGGGCTCCTATTCTTCTTTCTCTCTCTGCATAGACCTTTGGGCATCAGTCCCACATCCCTGAGGCTGCAACTGGTGTCCCTCCTGGTGGCCAGCCCTCCTGGGGCAGGGGGCAAGAAAGTTCTAAAAATGTCTTACTTGTTACACCAATAAGAGTTGTGATGGCCAGATCCTGGAACAGAAACTGGTAATTCGAAAGGCTGTTTGTCTCCTGAAAATAAAAAGGAAAGCAGGTCAAAAAAGTGGTGACCTTCTGGATGAAGTCTAACACCAATCGCATTCATTTTTGTCCCCGCAAGATGGGATTTTACGAGAAGAAGTGTGGCCAGGGTCCTGTTCGTGTTGGTGGATGTACCAAAGAAAGACTGTAAAACCCTCTCTAATCAGGAGGCTACCTCCGGGTGCTGTCTAGGCTGAGTCCTTTAAGCTTCAGTATCCCCTTGTTGAGGGGGACATCTTACTCTACTAGATCCGTCTCTGATCTCTTTTCTACCTGCTAAGCAGAAAAGTCGGGGTTTGGTCTGGCACAACAGGACAGTGAGTTCCCAGGAGTAGTAAGTGACAAATGTATGGTGATCTTACCCAAATTTTACCGATGGAAAAAGAGAATAACTGACCCCACTATTTGCATTCTTGGGTGTGATTAAAAAGTCCTGATAAGGCCTCTTTGATATTCTTGAGGGAAAAAATGTTAGGATCTTGCTGATTTTAAGTAACTTGCTTGCTTGCCCCCTTTTAGTGGAAAGGAGCTCAAGATGACCCATGTTTAACTCTATAGCATGACTTGTTGGGATTCCAAAATAAGACCAATTTCCGTACACAGCCTCTCCTTCTCCATCTCATTCACTGTGAGTGGGAAAAGACAGAAGTCACCTGAAAATAACAAAACTAAAACCTTCAGCCCAGAAGCGAGAGGGCAGGACATACACATGAATCTGAAGGAATCAGCAATATGCTGCTTGTTCTTGCTCATGAGAGTCAATCGCAAAGTTTTCAGGGATTTTTTTTTGAACCGGTTGTTAAACAACACCCATTATAAAACTGAAATTGTACGAATCTACCATTAAATACACTATGCTGAAAACAAAGCTAACAAATACCCCCCATCCAGCACTTCCTAGTCATTTTCCTACATTGTGCTGTTATCTATGCACTTTAAGATATTTACAACTCTTCTATCTCTGGGGTGCAAGCACTTCATAATGACATGCCATGATGCACATCTCTTCCCAACTCCATGCTCAGTGACATCAGGTAGACAGCTGGAAACCAGCCAAGGTGGGCGTAGTTACACCACGGAAATTGGCAAACATGAATAACCAGGGCTTGCTCGCCCAGGGAGAGCGGCTCTGAAACATTCACCAGCTTCCCAATCCCAGAATAGTCTCTCTACTGAATGGTATGCTCAGGTAGAGACACACTGAAACTGAGAAGATGGAGACCTGGCTCAAGCAGGTGGAAGTAACTGCAAGAAAGCACTATGTCCTGATGATGGTCAGCTACCGCTGCATACAAAATGTCTCCATCAGAGAGTGAGAGAATGGACATCATCAACTTCTCCTGTGTGCATCTGTCTATTTCTGATTCAGTTTCACTATAAAGGTAGTTTCAGAGGCCATTGGTCCTCCAGGCTCCACACGTGCACCCTTCCTGAAGAGGCCCTGCAGGTTGGAAGGACGCAACCCCTTGATTCAGTAATCACCAACCAAGAGCTCGGGTCCCCAGTCATACCCAGTAGAGCAGCAGGACACCGACATACTGGATCATGCTGTACAGAGCCATGTACTTGAACATGCAAAATGAGGTCACGAGAGCGGCACGCCCTTCCCTGTGTAAGCAAAGGAAGGAAAGAGGAAGGAGATGAGAGGAATGAAAACAAAGGAGGTCAGTGACTGTGTGCTGCTCAGCTGAGCTTAGGAGAAAAACTGCAAAGCTTGATCACTCAATGGTTTGTCTGACAGATGGGACAGCCTTGAGCCAGAGGGAGATGGCTGCCAGGATGCTCAATGAGTAGACTTTCGGGAAAGACCAATTCCAGGCCCAGATTCACAGCCTTGGTCCAGTTCTGGAGCCCAGATTGCATGGTGGCCTCGTGCTCTCTGTGGGCATTATGACAGAGCAGAGTCAGAGGGCCTGGGGACCGGTACCGACTCACGGGTGTAATTTGGAAGGTCATTTCCTTCTGCCAGTCACAGTTTCTTCACCTGTGAACTAAGGAATCTAGATAAGATTGCAGGTTGGGGGGCAATTTTCACACAGGTGTTTCATTTTATTCAAGTCATTTGGCTGTCACCACTTTTTCTAAAACGGAACTAAAACAGTATCTATGCTCAAATTCATCATATATCTAATTTAAATAGGCTGGGAACAATGAACATGTTTGTTTTCGTTACTGGAGATGGACTTTGAGTAAATGGCATATATTTAAAGCACAAAATAGATTACTTACGAAATGCCACTTTTATCACTTTGGTTGGAAAGTAAATAGAGTTTACATGTACTTCTGGTCATAACGTTTTCCGGGGACTCTAAAACCTGATTTCAAAGCAGGTTCGTCCCTGTACTGGGGCTCAGCTCTCAGCTGCTGTCATTTGCTGTACTTGAAGGTAGTTTCTCTTCATCTCTCCCCTCCCCTTAGAAAGGGTTTTCGCGTTCCATCCACCTATAGCAACCAATTCCACCTCCCCAGCCGCCTTCTTACTTTTCCCATTACCTGTGATTTATCTGTGTATGTGTTTATTGCCTGACTTCTTCACCAGAAGAAAGCTTTATGAGGTCAAGGAATGTGTGATTTACTCGCTTCTGGATTTCCGGTGTCTCTACCAGTTCCTGGCACTAAGTGCCTGTTCTATAAATATTTGTCAAATGCACACACAAATTTTTAAAAATTTGGGAGGAGCTAGCCAAATCATTATTTTAATGTGGCGGGAATAGTGTGACTTGTGTAGACAAAACGTATTTAAATAAAATCTGTTCTAACATAATTTCTAATCGTATATGGCTGTGTGAGCTTGGGCACCTCAAGTAAGTTCTCTAAACCTCCATTTCTGGGACGCCTGGGTGGCTCAGTTGGTCAAGTGTCCAACTTCGGCTCAGGTCATGATCTCACGTTTCAAGCCCCACCTCGGGCTCTGTGCTGACAGCTAGCTCAGAGCCGGGAGCCTGTCTTTGGATTCTGTGACTCCTTCTCTCTCTGACCCTCCCCTGCTCACACTGTCTCTATCTCTCTCTCAAAAATAAATTAAAACAAACAAAAAAAACATTTAAAAAATTTAAACCTCCCTTTCTTTATTTGTAAAAGGAAATAGTGACCACTCCTACATCTCCAGGCTGTTTGGAAGTATATAATAATAGGTATTAAAGCACTTCATAAACTGTAAATACATGCTAGGTATAATCACCCAAAGCGGCCACAGTGCTAACCATCTCTAACATTCAAATAAAACAGAGCGGAAGTACATATTCTGGGAGGAGCAGATAAAGTACCAAGGGAAATTTTAGAAGAAGCAGCAAAGATGAGTTAATATTTTGAAAACTGGGGATGGGAAGGATATTCCAAAGAAGCATAAATAGGCCAGAGGAAAAGGGGGCAATCGAGGAAGGGAAAGTTTCTGTCTGCCCCCCATTATAAAGCATCTATAGAAATGTGTGTAAAAGTAACAATAATAAGATCAACACTTTCAAAGCAGTCACAAGTTCCAGGTTCCACGGGTACCTGGGGGGCTCAGTGGGTCAAGCATCTGACTCTTGATTTCAGCTAAGGTCATGATCTCAGTTTGTGAGTTCAAGCTCCAAGTCAGGCTCCTCACTGTTCATAGACCCTGCTTAGGATTCTCTCCCTCCCTCTCTCTTTGCCCCTCTCCTGCTTCTGTCCCTCCCCTGCTTGTGCTCTCTCTCTCTCTCTCTCTCAAAATAAACTTTACATGTAAAAAAAAAAATTCCAGATTCCAATTTTCTAAAAATAACCTATTGAGTGATTTTCATTGTACCACTGCTCTCCCACAAATATTTTTAACCCCAGGCAGGTCCACTCAGGAGCAGAATGGCTGACTGCACTGCCCTGCAAAGCATCCACCCACCCCACCCAGGGACACAAAATTTCCCTGTTCCTTCCCTGGCTGAACACTGGGGTCTGAACCTGAAAGTCAAGCAAGATTAAAACAATGCTGATGGAAAGCGCCTACTTACTTGATAAGGTGAGGTACACACTCAATGTTTGGAGTCTTAGAAGTGAAAGGTGAGGCCACGGATGCCTCCTGCTCTGATAAAGAGATGCCCACGTGAGCCATTTTCAAGGCCTGAAAGCAAAGAGTCACCTTACTCTCCTTCCACACCCACAGACGTGTCTCCTGAGGCCACCTGGGAAACGCCTATCGAGTTAGCCTTGCGGTGGCCTGCGGACTCAAGCACAAGTCAGGAGAGGACCAGATTTTGTTCTGCCTACTGCATAACAAAGAGAAGGCACGGGGACATGTAGCCAAAGAAGTCTACACTGACGACTGAGTCACTGTGTGGCCTTGGTCAAAACCCTCCCCAACCCTTCCTATCAGTTCCTCCATCAAGAAGAATGGAAATAAGTGTGTATCTCAGGGATATTATGTCTAAAGGACTCCAGGCAAGTGCAATTAAGTAGTGTAAGTCCCGGTCTGTCGTGTTGTGATTATGGCCCCACACACTGGCAGCTACTGGCAGCTACTTACCCCACAGTCATTGGCTCCATCACCGCACATACCTACAAAGTAACTAAAAGGGAACTGTGTTAATTATAGGGGATATGAAAGCAATTTTAGCTGCCAATTTCTCTAATTAAAAAAAAAATAAAATGAACTTCGTTACTTAGGGTGCAAACTGATTATTGATTTTAAGGGAGTTTTCTGAAGGATCTGGTTTGACTAAAAGTAAAGTATGACTCAGCAGCTTCCACAATGGATTAAAAAATCCAGGACAACACTCCTGACTCCAAGCACTTCACTGCTTCGGAGGCAGTTTTGCTGGCTGTAAAATGGGACGTTCACAATTATACGCCATGATACCATGGCACAGTGATACCATGGCCCAGAGAGGGCACCAGATTTGAAGCCAGATCGAGATCTTTGACCTGATCTCTTGACCACTTTGACCTGACCACGTTACCATTTGGGCCATTATTTATCTCTCCTACAAAGTGTTGTGTATTCAGTGAGATGCTATATGGAAAAGTGTCTAATAATTTCTAAAATGATAGACAAAAATTACTTGTTGGTGCTGTAAATAATAACAACCATCTTACGAGTCACTCAGCTAAAAAAAAGTTTGCCCAGAGTTGAAGAAAGAAATTTTCCATCTTACCAGTCACTCAACTAAAAAAAAAAAAAAAATGCCCAGACTAGGAAGAAAGAAAATACATCCCTGCTCACTCTTTTGTTCTTGGAGGCTGAGTGCATACTGCTGGCTTTAATTGTTGACAAAGATTATGGATAGCATGCTTTTTAAGGTAGAAGTGCTCTGACAGTATTTACAGAATTTGTTACATTTGTGTTCCACTCAGCCATATGAAGGCAACTAGTTTACTGTCTGGTTTTTCAACCATGTTGAGAAGACAGGGCTTTCTGAATCAAGAAGCTTGCCTAGTGACTAAATCAAGTGGGATGAAGTGGGAGTGAGAAGGAGTAAGTCATGTCTATATGGTCTAGTGCCAGAAGCTGAAGAAAACTCATAGGACTCCATGGGTTCTATTAACAGGAAATAAAGGGTCTCAAATGATTGGCACTTTATTTGAACTGCCTATTTCATAATGGAGACCCTTTGTGTTAAAAGAGAAGTATTATTCTAATTTAGGACAGAGAGGATGCTTTGCCTTAAAAATATTTTAATATTTTTAAGGTTATGTGAATCTCTTGCCATATGAATCTCCTAACATCACAACTGTGATGATAACTTATGACATCTAAATTCTCACTGTACCTTTAGGAGCTGAACTCAAACTACCCTTCCAGGTTCATTTCTCACCACACACTTTCATGGCCCACATGTTCCAGTCCAATGGTTCTCAACTCTGGGTACAAAATTGACTCCTTTGAGGAGCTTTGAAAAAACACTGATGTCCAAGCCTCACACTAGCAACTGAATTAGCCTCTCTGGACAGTGGGGTCCCAGTATCGTTATTTTTTCAGAGCTCCTAGGGTGATTGTCATATGCAGTTAGGTTATAAACCACTGCCCTAGGTGACTTCCTGTACCTCTTACACTCTCCCTGGCTGTCATGCCTCCAGGCACTTCATACCACCTAAATTGGTAAGGAACCTACTCCAGTTTCTGAAATTCTTCCACCAGACTGGATTTCTGCCCAGGAGACATTCTTGCAAAGATGGTCCCATTCATCAGTATCTGTAAGGAACCCAAGAGAAACTTTCTATCATGTCAGTTGATCATACATGAGATAATTGATAATACTTAGAACACTGACTGGAAAATAATATCCATGAACAGCAAAAACAATTTGTTTCCAAGAAGTCCTTTTTTGGATTTCAAGACATTGAGACCTTGGTCATCAAGTAAGTGACCAGGGAGACCAAAAATCAGTCAAAATGACTGCTTAATAAAAATATTGGATGAAAATGATGGCCTTCAGGAATTTAGCCGAGCTGCCATCAAGAATGCGGTAAAAAAATCCTGAGCTTAATGGAATCTTGAACCAGTAGAGTAGGAGAAAATGCAAGATATCAAGAGGTCAGCAGCCTAGAAAAAGGAAAGGAAGCAACTGCTTCTCAGAAAATTGTTCAGAACTAGCAGAAAAACAACCTAATGATGAAATGGTGACAATTAGTGGTTTAACCATAGTTTAACAATTAGTTGATTTAACCATACCATCTGGGTTTGACCAATTGTGGAGTTCAGCTGATATCTCAAGTCTAATTTTGGCTATGGAACATGGATAGTTTGGAGATATAAAAACCTATACCAGCTCCATCCACCTGAGCTGTAGTCAACAGAGTCTGAATTCTTCTGTGTCAGATCTCTGTGTTCCTTGCTCTTCTTGAAAGTAACTCAGCTTAACGTTTGATCAGCCTCTAAGTCTTTATTTCCTAAACGGTACCTAGACAATAAGCAATTGAATACAAATAACTTATCTTTGGATTACACTAGACACAATCTCTAGTTTGTCCACATGTTACATATATAACTTACCTGCCCTTGCTATGGGTTTGTTCTTCATCAGAAAATTGTTAAGTCTGACCCTCTGTTGTGTACATTCGCTTTCAAAAACCTAACAGAATTCCTCTATTCTTGGTCTGCTTTCCTGTATAATTGCTGGATTTCCCCTACACTGTTAGACCCCTAACCGTGACGGTATAAAGACAGCAACCTAAAAGCAATCCTTATGACGTGAGAAGTCCCTAATACTTTATTTCTATAGATGGTGAGAAATGGGCTAATCAAATTTGCTAGTTTTAAATCTAGTAAGAAATGAGACAAGAAAAATGTTTGCCTCTTTATGACACATTCAGTAGGTATTTCTTACCTAGTTAAAGGTTTGAAATTACTTAGGAAAATGTTCTGTACATGGCATCATCAGTGTCTTTGCTGGGAGATTGATACTCTCTTAGAACTTACCTTTGGCAGTAGGCTACTGAAATGTTGGCTTATAACCTGAAAGGATTTTCCACTTAAGGCAAAATGGTAACTTCCTTCTCTGCCATGATCAGAGACTTCTTCCTTGATATTAATGTAATTATCCTGCAAAAGCAAAACACAAGTTAATTGAGACATTTGATAGAGTGGTAAAGGACCACAAGTCTATCAGAGAGAAGGCCATGATGATGGCCTGGGGTCTCTCTTTAAAAGTCACACTCTAGCCCCAGTTCCTCAGAGGGGCACTTTCTCTTTGCTGGATCAATCTTTGCATATCACAGCCTCTAGTGAATAGGAGAATAACACTTACTCATGTCCTCTTCTCAACCTGATTTGATCTTGGTGAGTCCCAGAGAAGAGCACATTTCACACATTTCGAGTGTAAAATACAAAACACTACAACTTAACAAATCTCTCCCTGAAGTGAGAACTTACCATTTTTTTTTCCTTATAGAATTAATATTGTTCCACAAGGACACAATAGAGATTGGATACTGACAAGATTGGGAATAAATGGATAAAACTTTCTCCTGGCCCGAAGGCATAGTCTAATTTTCCAATGTGCACAGCAGTTTCTCTCCCAGGGACTAAATCTCCTTAGGACCAAATGGGATGGTTAGCAGGCAAGAGGAAGATGAGAATTTAGATTGGTAGTCCCCTTACTGCCCCTCTATATTCTTTCTCATATAGAGCCAACAACATTATCACACTTAAAATAATGGATTCTTTCCAGCACCCAGGACAGCACTATACATTCAAGCTCAGTAGGAACAGTATGAGAAACTGATATGAGTTCTTCAAACTCCATATGTGTTAGGCACTTGGGGAAATATGTTGACCCTAGGTCACCTGTACATCTCTTTCAGTCAAAGCTGCCCAGTAGCCAACACTGGGAGTCAAGTTAGGTAATATGGCGGCAGGTCTGTTTTTAGGTATACCTGCTGGCTGTATGCAATGTGTTTCTTCTCTTCTACTAATTTCCAAGATATAGATGCTGATGAGGATCCAGTGCTTTCATTCGCTTCAATGAGAATGACTTTTTGGTTTTCAGAAACCATTCCAGACTTTCTGGCCACTGTTATTGCAGTCTGAAGATTGTCACCTATAAGAAAGGAAAAGCGTATCAAGGTGAGGTTGAAAAGATAGAACCAATTCATGTAGGGCCTGAAAAAGTAGGGTAAGGAATTCAGAATTTAGTTTAGGTGTGGAAAGAAAGAATTTCTAGGCCTCTCTCATGCTGATTCTCCATGAATCCATGATCCCTTTCTTGATTCTTATTCCTTTTTATCTGGTTACTTCATAACCTACCAGTATATTTTTTCCAGAGAGTGGAAAGGCAAAACAAAAAGGCAAAATTCAAATCTATTTCCATCATTTTTTAGGTTGGTAAACATTTATCAAAGCCCTACTGATTTAATATAGTACCAGGTGGTTCCACTTTCAGCCAATTTGGAATAAGACCACTAAAATCTATCTCTCCCACTGATTACAATGGAAAACTATGGGGAAAATACAAAAATCAACTATCCAAGGACTTTGAAGAGTAAACATAAGGGAGAGTGTGGAAGGGAGTCAAATTTGGAGAAATAACCTACAAGGTGGTGACATTCTTGTTGTTTTTTTCCTCATATGTGTGACCTGAGTGTGAACCCCAGTCCCAGAGCTGTGAAGGATGCTAAATACAACTCCAAAAGAAATTTAGTTTTTCTGACCAGAAAAACCAGAAAGAGAAAGGCTTGGAGGCTGAAGAATCTCCAGGGGAGACCCTGGAAAGGAGACAGGTATACAACCAGACTAACTGTGAAAACTCAACCCAGAGCTGTGCATGTGCAGAACAAACCCGGAGAAGGAGAGCAGAACCCTCAAGAATTGAACCATGATATTAATCACCTCCATAGCTTAGAGTTTTGTTTGCTAAAACAAACAAAAATAACCCTCAACATTCACTAGAGGATTTTAACAAGATCCAAAGTCTCACAATACAATACTTTCAATGCTCAAGAAATTTAACATACAACAAAACCCTGGAAAAAGTGGTCAATTCTCAAGCTGCTTGTCCCAGATGACCCAGATATTAGAATTACCAATGTTCTTAAAGCAGCCATTATAAACCTCCTCCATGAGGTAGAGGTTAACACTCTTAAAATAAATGACAAGATAGAAGGTCTTAAGAGAAAAATATATATACTTTATGAATAAGAACCAAATGACTACTTTAGAATTGACCAACATAATAACTGAAATAAAGAGTTCCCTGGGCGCTCTCAAAAGCCGAATAGAGGTGACAGGAGAAGCTGTGAGTGAATTTGAAGATAGATCAATAGAGGTTATACCAGCTGGAAAACAGAGAAAATTTTAAAAAATAAACAAAAGAACAGAGACTGGAGAATGACAACAGTCATGCCATTAGAGTCCAGGGAGGAAGAGAGAAAAGGATCAGAACAGGAAAAAAATATTTTGAAGAAATAAAGCAGATAAGTTCTCAAATACGGTAAAAAATTTAAATTTATAGATTTAAGAAGCCCAGTGAATCCCAGGTAAGATAAACTCAATGAGAACCATAACCAGAAACACTACAATCAAACTTCTAAAAACAAAGATAAAGAAAATATCTTAAAAACAGCTAGAAAAAATAATATGTTAGGGAATGATTATTCAAATTATTACAGATTTCTCGTAAAAAAACATGGAGGCAAAGTGACAGAGAAATATCTTTGAAGTGCTGAAGAAAGAACTATGAAGCTATGAAAGTCTCCCTTCAGAAGCAAATGAGAAATAAAGCCATTCTTAGAGGAAGGGAAACTAAGATACTTTGTTGTTAGCAGACATGCTCAAAAAGAAATGATAAAAATTCTTTAGGCTGAAAGGAAATGACACCAGAGAGAAACGCCTAACATTAGGAATAGAAGCATAGCAAATGAAATAATAAAGATCTGGGTGAATATAAAAGTCTATTTTTCTTCACTTGTGTGTAACTCTTGCCTATTGAACGTGAAAGCTTTAACATGGTCTAGCGGGGTTTTCACTGTCATAGACACGACAACTTTAACGTAAAGGAGAGAAGGCCAAGGACGTTTATGGTTGTAAGCCTTCTTGAAAGGGCTAAGTACAGATGCGATTCTTAGAGCAACCACTGAATAATAAATAACTTCTGACTGACTATCCCTAACATGGCTTTCTTCTGCTTTCTACCAAAGTATTTACAAGGAAGCCCAGAAGAGCTAACAGGTGGGCAGGAGCTTCTCTACCCTGAGGCTAGAGCCCTAAGAGCTAAGAGGTGTCCTCCACATGCCTCAGCAGGGCAGCGATAGTTGGGCTGCTTTGCAACGCAGGACAATTTTGCCATCCACCACCTGAGAAGCTTCTACTGTTTGGGATATCCAGGCCAGGCCTGAGTCTCAGTCATGACAGAGTACTATAACAACCCATTTTAGAAGTCTCAGAAGCTAGAGAGGAAAATATCAGGCAGAACAACCAGAACATATGACAGGCAAAATAGAGAAGTTGCTGGAGATAGATAAAACTTGCAGTAGCTTGCGGCGACTGGGTGGCTCAATCAGTTAAGCATCTGAGTTCGGTTCAGGTCATGATCTTGCAGTTTGTGAGTTCAAGCCCTGTGCGGGACTCTGTGCTGACAGCTTGGAGCCTGGAGCCTGCTTCAGATTCTGTGTCTCCCTCTCTCTCTACCCCTCCCCATTTGTTCATTTCTTTCTCTCTCTCTCTCTGAAATTAACATTAAAAAAAACCACCCTGCATTAACTCATTAAAAATAATGAGTGCACTTAAGAAAACTCAAATATAGCCCTTCTCCCCCACTCTTCCCCCCCCAAATAAAAGGTTTTCCAGAGTCATCCCCCCCCAAAGCATGATTTCAGAGCTTAACATTTAAGAGGTAATTTGAAGGAGATAACGGTCATTTTTGGAACTTGAGTTTCTGGTTTGGAAACACTGGAAAAAATCTTAAAACACGAAGCAAAATGATAAAAATATGAGAATCACAAGAAAAAAGATAAGAGACAAAGAAGATAAATCCAGAAAGCCTATCAAGTGAATAACAGAAATTTCAGAAGGGGAATAAAGGAAGAGACAGAACAAAGGCCATAATTAAATGAACGACAGAGCAACTTTCCCTGATAGGAAGAGGATAGATTAAAAGTGCTTACGTTTAATTAATTAATGAAATCAATGAAAAAGAAAGACAAACATATAGACATACTCTGGTAGTATTTGTAAAGTCCAAAGTTAAAGAAAACGATAATATACAGAAGAGAACAAATTACCTACTGTGGCCTGGCATTGGAGTTGTAATAACACCTAGAGATCATTAAGGAAAAAAAAAAAGGACTATAACCCCCAAATCTTATATTCCGACAAAATGGCACTCACCAGTCAGAGCCAAGAAAGATATGTCAGGATATGCACGAAATCAGAGAGCATATCATCCTTCTATCCTGTCCAGGGACACGTCTTGAGAAGAGAAATTTAACCCAGCAAGCAAAATAACAGAACAGAAATTCCAATACGAGGGAAGAAGTGAAGAAGTAGGGTACAGAGTGGTGTGTTCTTATTTCTCCATACATCTCAACACTAAGGATAGGTTGTGAGAATGTGTAAAATAAGTGCTAAATGAGGATTTTTGAAACAGAAGGGTCATGATGGAAGGGTAATTCTAAGTAGTAACTTAACTCAGCAGTGCCTACAAGTTGGATTCAGGGACTCAAAAGGAAGAGGGTAAAAGGGACCCTTAAGTCTCTTGTATTGTGGGGGTAGAGTGGGAGATGGAGAGCTACAGAGGAGAAGATAGAAGTATCCTAGAGCTCCCCACGGTGAAAGTGGATTCAGGGGCAATGGGCTGGGGAATGAGGGCTCTGGTGGGGAAAGAGTGAACCTCGGTAACACAACGGTCAGAGTTCAATGCATCTGACTTGAAAGCAGGGAAAGAAAGGCACACACTGAAATCTGAACGCATTAGGAGATGATCTATTCTCCACTAAGAAGCATTCGTTAAGAAATCTTATACACTTCTCTCGCATGATCCTTTCTCACCACTCTCTTATAGGACTTGGGGTTTGAGAGAAGCACAGGGGACAGTGTTTTTTTGGGTTTTTGTTTTTACCACCAGAATCATAAATCTCACTATTGATGGGTCTTCAGTGTAGTTAACAGTCCTACTAACATTTAACAACAAAAATCGTCGTCTGTGCCTGGCTCACATCTCCTTGTCATCCAGGGTATTACCTCAAATGGCCCTTCTCAGAGAGGACATCGCATATAAAGTAGCCAGTCGGACATGCTTTACCACATCACCCTGTTTTGTTTTATGTACCTTGTAACTCTGATTGCTAGCTGCTTATTTGATCAATTGATTATTTTTCTATCTCATCCCACCTGGAGAGAAACGTGGTGAGGGCAGTAACTTGGCTTTTCTGTTGCTGATCTCCAACACCTAGAAGGGTGTCCAACCCACAGTAGGTAGTCAACAATCTTTGTGAAATGAATGGATCTTGTCTATTTCCACATCAAATTCTTTCTGTTCCCACGGACAGCTTTGTTCTATACCTGTGATCATTACAGTCCTTATCCGGGCAGAGATGAGCTCTTCCAGAACAGGTTTTGTTTCTTCCTTCAACCGATTCTCCAAGATGAGCAATCCCAGAAAAATCAGATCTGATTCTACTTTGTCCCTGGAAACATATATATAATTGAACAGAAATAGCACAATATGGGGGGTCCTGGGTGGCTCAGTCAGTTAAACATCCGACTCTTCACTTTGGCTCAAATCATTATCTCATGGTTCATGAGACAGAGACCCACACTGGGCTCCACACTGATGGCACGGAGCCTGCTTGGGGTTCTCTCTCTCTCTCTCTCTCTCTCTCATCCCCTCCCCTGCTGGTTCTCTCTTTCTCTTTCAATAAATAACTTGAAAAAAAGAAATAGTACAAAATGGTCTTTCTTCGGGGAAGCAAAACCAAAACAAAGGCAAATATGCTCCTATCAGAAGTGGTTCCCATTCACCCATTTAAGCACCATTCCTTAAACACTGAATATGTGCCAGGAAATATCCAAAGAAGATAGGAGGGGACATGAAGGATACTGAGACATTTGCTCTGACTGAATCAATTGGAAGAGAGAATATTTATTAAACAAAAGATTGGCTTTAACCTTCCTAGAGAATGAACTAAATGACCCCAAGTCTTCTTGCTGCTGTGGCTAGTGTGATTTCCAACACCTCGCCTGTTTTCAACTCCCAGAGAGGCATTCCAGCATGAAACATGAAAAGTAAGTGAGGTTCAAGAACAGTAAAACAAAATGCTAGTTTCTACAGAATTCAAGCAGTATTATTTTAGCCACATGACTTCTCAGGCTCAAAAAACAGCCCCTCTTTTATTTTTATTTTTTATTTTTTTAAGTTTATCTATTTATTTTGAGAGACAGCCCAAGTGGTGGGGGTCCGAGAGAGAAGGAGAGAGAGAGAGGATCCCAAGCAGGCTCTGCACTGCCAGTACAGAGCCTGGTGTGGGCCTCGAACTCACAAACTTTGAGATCATGGCCCAAGCCAAACCAAGAGTCGGATGCTTAACCAACTGAGCCACCCTGGTGCCCCAAAGGAGTCCCTATTTTAAAGCCAAGCTCCTCCCTCTCTTCCTCCCTCCACGGCAGCATTGTTTTTCTGCATTAAGTGTGGATGTTTCTGGAAGGAAGTGGGGCTTCTGAGGCTCCTGTCTACCTCAATAACATTTCCAAGACATTCCACAGGATTAAGGCCAGAGGAGTATATTTGGGGTTGGGGGTCCAAAAAATTCTGCCATGATTCATTTATCTGAGACCCAGACACCTCTAGCAGACACAGAGCAAGACACCAGCATTGCCTCATTCTGGCTGAAATATGAGTGACAGCAGCACCCAGCAGCACCCACCTTGCCTTACTTGCCATGGGCGTCTCAGTGCTGAGCCTCCTGTCAGCCAGCGGCAGCAACTAGAGTTAGCCACGCTCCTAGGACCCTGCTAACAGCTCCACCAGAGTGGTCAGGAGTTTGCCCTACTTGCCCCAGGTGTTTCCCATTCTGCTGAACCTGGCATTGAAGTCTCTCCACAATCTGGTTCCAGGCTGTCTCTACAGCCTTTATCTATCACTAAATTCTTCACCTGCCCTGACCTCCAGACGAGGCGGACCAGCCACCATGGCCATGTTCTGTACTCAACCGTCTCTAAACTTCTGCTTGGGACTCCCCAAAGACAGTCTTTCTTATCTCACGGAAAAGGTTGTCAATTCCCAATGATCTGCCATTGAAATCCTTCCTGTTTTTATTTTGCGACCCAATTCACATGTCCATCCCCACAAAACCTTCCCATGGGGGTAGATATAATTGCTCCCTCCACATCTCACCTCTATCTCAGTGTGGCACGCATTTCGTTTGTTTATACACCCCTTGCCATTCTTTGCTACCTGATCTGTCTCGGCAACCTGAGGGCAAGGCTGCCTAGTTCAGGGACAGGCTCAACGACACATGCGTGCGCCCAACAGAGGAAGTGCTCAGGCAGGGTGCCCTTAGCTGAAGTGCTCTGATGCCTGACCTGACCTTTTTTTTTCTTTGACAGGCAGCCGAGGAAAGTGTATTTCCTCTTTCAGAAATTCTGCTGCCAGAGGGTTTTTATGGAAAGCAAAGCCTGTCAGTCTGGCATGTGAATAACCATTTACTAAATACCTGAATAAGGGCATGGAACAGGGCTAATGAAAGGGGGAAGAGAACATACCGACACTACAGGAGCCCCTAATTCTGGAGATTTCACATTTAACCGGGAGGACAAGATTAGACTTGATTGCCTCATTTGTATGGAAGGCTGGGAAGAGTACCATGATGTACAAATCATGGTCCTACGGAGTCTGATAGGAACGGGTAATCATTTCTGGGTGGAGTGACCGGAGAAACTTTCTGGAACGGGGGATATCTGAGCTGATCTTTGAAGGATAACTTAGCTGGTGACTGAATGAGGACCTCCAATCTTTTTAGTGGTCCTCGTATCCGAGCCTCAGGCTTTGGATATTTTCAGAGTTGATATGACATAAGCCAACCACAAGGCACCAGATTAGGTCACGAAAATGGCCACAGGGTCAACCATCTGATATAGACCGCAGCCTATCTTGGCACTCAGATTTCTGGTTCCCCTGGCACATGGCCTTCATAGGGTTCAATGCACAATAGTCAGGATATTATATAGTTCTTAACCCAGCTCTGCTACTACCTTTGCTGTGTGGCCATGGACAAAACACTTTCTTTGTTTGGTAACCTATTTCTTCTTCTGTAAAAGAAGAGAGTAAAACTAATGGATCTCCAAGATCTCCTCTAGCTCTAACACTACATGATTCTTCTTGTCATGAGTTTCAATATAAACCAAGAAGTAGAGAAGAAGTGGTCTCTTGAGTTATCTCTGAGCTCTGCAACCTGGGATCGTGAGCTATCTTTTCCTGCTTCCTGCACAGACATTATACCTCCTCCTGAAGCATCTAAAAATAATCAAGAATGGGGAATGTGATACAAAGGGGGTATTTTCATCAGTGAGATTACACTTCCTGTTCTTCGAATCCAGGCAGTTTTTAAAGGCTGAAATATGCAAAAAGTGGGCGGAGAACCCTCAAAGAAATTATGGTTATCAGGGCATGGACGCACGCGCGCACGCGCGCGCGCACACACACGCACACCGTAGAAAGAATGCTCTGCTCTGATTAGGGATTAGCAAAGGTTAGGTAAAACAACGAAGCTATGAGTAGATATATGGCGCTTTAGCACAGGAAGGGCAAATTGACAACCTGCGATTAGATCCTATCAGATCCTATAAGGACTTTGATCTTACCAGACTTCAAAAAGTTGGAATTCCAATGCTGTTAGCACAGGCATGTACTCTCCTGAATGCCACAATCCTCACCATTCCCCTCACCTACTGATGATCTGTCTTCACTATGAGTGCTTTGTTATATGCACCATGGGTTTGAAACTTGTAGATATGCAACTATTTATTATAATCATCAGAAGTAGCAGCATGATAGCCAGCATGGGTTCTCAGGAAACAAAGTTCCTTCCCAATTCTGCCACAACCTGACCCCAAGCTTTTTTTTTTCTTTCTTGAAAACGTGAGATCCAATCTCAAAGTCCACACGTTTAGCTCTCTGACTTGAGTAACTTGAAGGGCCCGAGTCAATTAAATTACAGCAAATACCCAGAGTTGTAATAGCGAAAGTCTTAGGAGTCAATCTAAGCCGGCCTCAGGAATACAACATTCAGGCATCTTCTATGAGCCCCTTCCCCTTCTGGGCCCCACTGCATATTCACAGAGTGACAGAATTGGACCCTGTTGGTAGTTTTCGGCAGGAGTGGTGCTGCATCTAGAGGACATTTTGGAAACTTTGTAGGCAACCATGTCCTGCAATGGCCAATGCCCCATGAAGAATTCCTCTGCAAATCACATGCCTCTTGAATATTTTACAGGCTATTCATGGACATTAAAAAATCACTTATACTTCCTGTATAGGCTTATACTGTTTACAATGTACTATTATTATGCTATATGGTATACTGTATTGTTAGAGCATATTGAATACCACTAATATATACATCCCCTTGCTGTGTTTTACATATAAACACAAAGTATTTTTGCACATTTTTGACATTCTATTGAGTTTTTCAGAAGTGTAACTGCCATGTAAATTGAGAAGAGACTGAACTGTTTGATTCCATTTTACCAAGTGTCTGTAACTGTTTCAGAGTCACCTCACTGACAGCACAAATGCTGGTGGTATTTGCGACTCTAATATGTAAATACACCTGTATCAGTCTGCACTGGTCCCAGCGATTCCACACAAGGGTGAAGGCAACATATTGCTTCATTTGAATTAGTGGAGTCAGCTAAGCATTCATTGAATTATTACGTTTTGTCGTGAATTGCATGCTTGCTTCTATGTTTACTGTATAACAGGGCATTATAGTTATTTTTATAGAATATATGTGCAGATCGTATTACATATGAACTTTATGTTAAAGGAAATGGTACCAAATATGACAACAGGAGTGATGGATCTGATAGGATTGAACACAACGATATTGCGCCTCCCAAATTTAAAATCCAAAATAACAAAATAAGCCCTGATTATCTTCACAGCAGGGTCAGCCACCGAAGCCGACACCAAGTCCTGGACATGGCACTGAGGGTGAAATAAACAAGGTAGCCTATAAACAGTGGGAAATACAACAACAAATTTGAGCGCATAAATACTCTAGTCCTTTTTAGCTTCTAAGCACCCCATTTACATCTCAAAACTACCTCCTGGAGGGCTCCTCTGCTCCGTGGTAAGTCTAAGCTCTATTCATTTGTTTCGTTGAGTTGCACATTTATCAATTGTTGTTCAGACAGATGCTGTGTTTTCTAACAACTAATTAAGCTAACGCTAACAAAAAATGAGCTACTTGTATTTGTTTCAAAATGGAGTCATCACCACAGTTTCAAACTCTCTGAAACATTGGTTATGTTCCTATGTATGTTTTTACAAAGCTGTACAATTATGCCATATTTTATAGTTTATACAGCTATTTCCCAGAAATTCTCCCAGTGTTCACATCAGCTTTGTGGCTGAGGCAGGAGAGGGATGACTGTATCCCTGTTTACCAAGTTCAGGATGTTGTATGCACACCAACCCAGCAAGCTGTGTTGTTCAGTCCACTGCCCCGTCCACTGCCCAGCAAGCCATTTTGCCTTATCAAATCCTCTCTACTTACCGTGTCAAGGCAGTGGTGTGATGATCCATTTCTAGCTTCTTGTAGGCCAGTGCTATGACCCGGAAGCCCTGTGTCGTGTAAATCTGAAGCTCACTAACAAAACTAGTTGGTACTGTTCAGAAAATAATGCAAAATTAGTATGCAGCATTTACTCCACTGGTACTGGTGGGAAAATTCTTTACAAACAGATCCAACTCTCTCCCAAGAAAACACACCTTGAAAAAGATACACAAATAAGTCGGTGAGAACCTTAAATATAATTATGTTGTCAGGGTTGGGATCCAATGAAGCTGAAAGGAGAATAAAGCATGGCAAAAAAGGTGGGAAAAGTGTGTCATTCTTTTTTCTCTAGTTTAACCAACAAACATTTATTGAGAGTCTCCTTACCATGTATGTGTCAGATATTGACTCCACAGAGACTGAACCGCAGGCCCAGCTCTAAAGATCTCTGTCTGTTTAGGAACAACCAGTAGAATGAGATCATTACCACTGCAATGGGATCTAAGCAACTGCAGTGTGCTATGGAAACACTTCGAGGTGCTTATATCATACTGGTAGGAAGTGGGTAGATGAAGGAAGGGGAAAGGCATTTTGGCCAAGGGAGCATCATATGGTTAGACACAGAGATACAAGACAGCAAGACTTGAGTAGTGAGTTCAGCTCAGGCGAAGCATAAGGAGAGAGGATAGGAGTGGCAAGGTATATCTGGAGAGTGTGATAAGATTCAGACCATGATGGACTTAATATATGATCCTACTGTAGTCTGAGACTATCTTGGATACCCTGGGAAGTAACTGAAAGAATACTAGCAAGAATGTGAGGACAAGGTTATCTTATGTTGTGGAAAAACCAATCTGGTCACAGTCTGAAGGGTGAATCAGAGTAGGGGAGCCTGGGGCCAGGATTTACCAAACATTCAAGTGATCCAGGGGTAGGGTGATAAGGGCCTGAGTGGATGGAATGAGAGAGGCCATGGAGTAGCAATTGATAAAACAGAGGCTCTGAAAGAGAGAGAGGAATTAGGACTGGGTCCTCAATTGGGGATAGCAGCAGAACTTGGTAGTTCCATTCATCAAGATGGAAAATACAGGAAGTGAGAAAGAGGAGTATTGAGTTTGGGATGCCAGTTGGGTTACCGAATTAGCAATGGCCAGTAGGCAATTAAATTCATAGATCATGTGCCGATGGGACACATTTGGGCTAGATGTACAGATCTGTCTGTTGTATTGCAGTCTAATCACTTACCTGTCTCAGGTTGGCAAAAGCTGGCCACCCTTTCTGGTGCACCTTTCATAAATGCCAGCCGGTCACCCCCCATCTCTTGCACAATGACCGTCATCCTCTGCAGTGCTGATGAGAATGGGAACTGATGCAGGATTGCAATTCCTTCCACTGGCACCTGGTTGAAGGAGAGGGAATGGACAGGGACATAGCAACATAGCTCTTAGCTAGTCGGAGCTAACTACTCCTCCCTCAATCTGCAAATACAGGAAGCAAGGTCTTAGCAATTTTCACATATGGAATTCAAAGAAGACATGTCTGTGCCCTTTCAAAATTTTCCGTTTCAGTTTGGACACTTTGGGGCGGATAGCAGACAAGGCTTACCTGGCTGGCTGGCTTGCAGGGCTTAACTATCATGGCATGTGCTGGCACTCCCTTGATGTGGAAATCGTCCCCAGAAACAGCCATCTCCTATTTCACAAATGGGATATTTCACTGTAGAGATTTATTTCTTATTCATCCACTGATACCAGGCTCAAACCCACTCCCTCGACAAAAATCCTCAGACCACCTCGAAGTATTCTCAGTATTCTCAGCTAGATGGAGGTGAACCAGACTTATTTCGCCACAGGGGAAAAAAAGTGCATTGGAAATGCCGCAGAAGTTGAAGGGCAGACACCTCTGAATTATTCATGTAATTTATCCTGCTTTCTCTGTTGGAATGTGCTGCATAAAGGTTCATTCTCCACTTCTGAACGGCTTAACTTGAAAATTGTGAGCATGAAGAGCCAGGCTTGTGTGAGGCAAGCACCATGCTGTCTTTGTTTTCCTGGAGCTCGACGCTGTTCCCACCCTTCCTTCTCTGTCTAATTTGAATTGACAGTCCTCAGGGCCAGGCAGGGCAGGGACCATGATGTACATGGCTAGTGTTTAGTAAATGCTCAGTAATTGCTGTAATAATAACCCTAAATTATAGTCAAAGGAACTTTTTACCCAAAGATGTCAAAATGCTTTGTAATCATATCATCCAGCAGTTGAAAAAATCTCAGAGAAGAAATTGTAATTCCTGCTTCAAGATACAGAAACTGTAACCCAGGAGAAATGGGGGGACTGGCAGAGTTACATCAGACGCTACAGAACCAGGCCCCATGAACACTGGAAGGGACCCTAGAGATTGTCTCCTTCAGCAGGAAGTGCTGAAGGAAGTGTCCGCCTGTCACTGAGGCCTAGAACTGCACCAGGCTGCAGGGGGTTGGAGTGGGCTTGTGGCTAAATAGGTAGGGAGTGTTTCCTGTACTATACAGGGTCTATCTTCTCTCTCAACCACAGCAACTCCAACTGTTGGTTTTTTATAGAATGTTTCTGCATAGGTTTCCTTTAGAGAAAAGATTCCAGCTCTGTTGCTTTGTTTTGTTTCTTTTCTACGAACACTGCTGATCTAATTCAAGCCCTTCGTTTTAAGGGCATTGGAGCCAACGCTTTAACAAGAGGGATGCCTTCACAGGGTCAGGCAGTCAACTAGAGCAGAGCCAAAACTAGAACCGAGACACCAGAGTCCTGGCCCTGAACTATCACTTTTGCTCTTAAATCTACTTCAGAGTCTCAACAAAAGCTCTCATCGTTTCCCTTTTTGTTGCTTCCAGTCTTAGAAACAAAATCAATATTCAATTAATAGAAATAACACTTCTGGTAACAATGAGTTACCTTAAGCAGTGGAGAGAATGCGGTTTCCTAACCCCCATGTTGTAGAAAACTTTCAAACAAGACATGGCTCAAAAGTTGGAAAATAATTATACAACAGTTATGTTGTCTCAAGAGTTGGAAGACATATAATAATTATAAGAATACTGTTAACCTATAATGTCCCAGGCACACTACCAAGGACTTTTTTTTAAATGCATCATTCCATTTGATCCTCATAATAACCCCATAATGGAGACACTATTATTAGTTGCACTGTACAGATGAGGAAAACAGACTTACATTTGTTTGTCCATCACTACTGTATATTGTTAAGTATTGAATAACTATGATAAAATCTGTGTTGCTCTGGCATTGAGGAAGCTTCTTAGGTTCTCTGAAGAGCAGGGACTTACCCAGGTGGTGGCTTCAAACATCTTGAGATCCAGAGGATCTCCCTGAATGGTCCCATTGAGAAGGATCAGAGAGTGGCAGCTGGCCATGGCGGCACACAGCGGGCCCCACGGCAAAGACTTGCCTGACGCAAAACTGTGGACTTCCTGGAAGCTGAAGGAGAAAAGGGAAGGGCCTTCAGTCCTATCCATCCATGCCAAAATGGAGTTTCTGGAAGTAAATATCTATTGAAAAATTACCGTAGCATGCATGGTTACACTGGCACCCATCTTCTAATCCCCCCCAAATTAATAACACTTTATTTAGCCATCAATCTTCTATAAGTTCAACAAGTATGAGAAAGGTCTTTGAGATTTTCCCAAGCTCTTTCTTTTCCTTACTCTTTCTCTGGCACTGACTTAATCCCAGAGGTATAGAAAACTAAAAGTATCACCCTTACTTTGAAGCATATCCACTACGACCCCAACTACCAGACCACTTCATTTCCAACGCTGTGAAAAGCACGGGCTAGCTCCCTTTATGGCTGTGTGTGTCTATGTGTATCTCCTTCACTCAGCCCTTAAGGGAAGGCATGGATTTTTCCATCTTTCTCTCCAACATATCTGATGTTTGGTCCACAGTAGACATTCAACAAATGTATGAGTGAATAAATGAGTTAGTTACTGGAAATCTGAAAGACTAAAATGATAAAGAATTTAAAAAAACTTTTTTTTTTTTAAAAGGACGTTGCATCCCCTCTCTTCCATCCTGATATCTAATGTCCATTATCACTATCATTTTTTTAATGGAAAGTAGCCTCATCTAAAACCTACTGAGGTCCAACTCCAATGTCACATGCAGGGTTCTTTCACAAAGTCATCAAGAGTTTAAGTCATCAAGTGCAGTCTCAGGTTCACCAGAGGCCGTCCTTCGAAGCCTTGCTGTCATGTGTTATGTGTGGAGCAGAGTAGGAGGTCCACAAAGCAGCCCACCCTGCTTGGGCAACCTCAGAGGGGCTGAAGATGCTTCCCACATGGAGGCAAAATCTTGGAGCTTCCAAGGAGCCAGTCAGAGTCTACTTGCTCTTGTTTCAGACCTGTGGGCCAGGCCAGCTGTACCCCTATTATCGTTTCTTCCTCTGGGGTTACACAGCACCTCTAGCTGTACCTCTATCATGCAGTTTCCAGACCTCTTTACCATCCTAATTCCTCTTTACTGGAAAAGTTTTTATTTGTCACAGTTTGTCTTAAAGCGTGGTCTCCAGGATCAGATTATTATTTCCCATGGTATGGACACTGCCTTTCTTTAAAAATGGTTTTTGTTTGCTCTAGTCTTTTATTCTTGAAAGCATCCACACCGCAGCATTAACTCACAATTCAGGTGTAATTCTTCCTGGCTTCCTCGTTTAAGCTTCCCTGCAAGTTCAAAAACCTCTTGGCTGATTATAGACCCTGTTGACTATATCTATTATTATATATCAGTAGTTCAAGTTGTCTTAGTGGTTTTCAACATGTCCCCCGGTATTTCAGTACACATTAAGCAATCACCAGCACTGTGATGAACACAGAAGCTTGAGCTCACACTGAAAAGCAAACACAGATCAGGGGGAAAAAATCTTATTTTTAAGATGGCACACATATTGTCATTACTATGTCAATCTGAATATATAATTCTGAGTTCCTGGGCACTGGGCCAATCTCTGGTTTGTATAACAAATAAATAGAACTCTCTCTCATCCTTGTTCCTGTATTTTTATTTGAATGTTTATGATTGATCCTGGTCAAGTAGCCCAGGGGGCCTTCTAATGGTTCTTGAAGTATCTGGCACATTGGGCAGTTCTTTTTGGAAAAGATAAGAATTATTAAAGGTGAGCTTACCTTTTACAAGATGATGTTTAATAGCCTGTGAGTCAGATGCTGACTTCTTGCCTAGTATTGAGTAGGTTTTCTCTGATGTTACTAATTAAATTTGGCAATTTTTTCCCAAATTTTAAATTTCCCTTTTAGGAAGGAGGGTAGCAGGCTTCAGTAACCAATCAATAACCTAAACATTGTATCAATGTTTTTATTTAAATTTGACAGGTTACTTTTAGAAATAGTTTTGTGAATAAGGTGATGCCTGAATTCAATAAGTGGAAAAGCATTCAAAAGATGGAACATTAAAAAAAAAGATGGAACACAGTAAGTTCATTTTAATTAAATAAACATTTGCTGTGCACCTGTTAGGTGTGCCTGTGTGCCCGGTACAATGCTATAGCAGTAGGAACACAAATATAAATTAGTGACTGACTGCTTTCAGGAAGCTCAGGGATTTGAATAAATACATACACTTTTTGTAAAAAGTTGAAGCAGAAACATACTAATGAACAGGAAGACCAGGTCTATATCTAAATCCATGTTTGAGAGAAAATGAAAAGAACTTGAGAACGTTTAATACTTATAAGAGGTTTCTTCTGTGGATTAAAGTGGCTTGGAGCACTAAGATTTATTTGTTAACCCAGGAAATAGACTTCTTTATAAATAATATTTTAATATGAAAGTGTATTACACACGTCGTTAAAATATTTTATGGATGAGTTATACCTGCATATAAGAAGAACCACAATGTGCCCTTTATGTATTACACGCTTTTGTGGTGGAGGCTGTGAGTGTGAGGGAGTAATACTTTCATTAAAAAAAAAAAAAATGTAAACGTCAGATGTTTCCTGTTCTGATCGCAAGTGGAAGTAGTGGCCAGGAAAAGCAGAGGGGGGATGCAAAGTTCAGACATGGCCACAAGAGGGCCACACAAGAGAGACACGCAAATCATACCACCCGAGCTGAAAATTGCCAAAAATGAGTCTTTTCTGGCCAGAAAGGAGTTCCCCCGCAACTAACAGGTGGGGTTTCCAGAAGTGCAATACCAAGGAAAATGAGTACATTAGCTACGGTTCCGCAGCTGCTCCTCTTCCTGAAACTCAGTGTCAACAAGTCAGTGCGGCGTTCCCCCTCCTGGCAAACTGAAAGGCTTCAGTCTGTAGAAGGAACACTACCTCCCTGAGGGACAGTGTCCAGGTACTCTCCAAGTCAGGTACACCGGGACAACTTCAGGTGCCTGACTGTTATGCTGACAGCAAATTACATTTTTTTAAATTTTTTCTGCAGGGCGCCTGGGTGGCTCAGTTGGTTAAGCCTCTGACTTCGGCTTGGGTCAGGATCTCAGGCTCTGTGCTGACACGGCTCAGAGCCTGGAGCCTGCTTTGGATGCTGTGTCTCCCTCCCTCTCTCTCTGCCCCTCCCCCGCTCACACTCTGTCTCTCTTTCTCTCTCTCTCAAAAATAAATAAAATCTTAAAAAAATTAAAACTCCTGCAAATCACATTTTAGCACAGACTGGAAACCCCTCCGTCTCCCAGGTTTGAGAATGGCATGGTACAGGGGTAGGCAGTAGGGAGGCACGCGTGTTTTAATAAGCCTTGGAAGTGGTCCGTAAGAGAAATTACATGAAGGCACTCCGGCAACCACTGTTCGGAAGCCAAAGGTCTTCATTGTTAACCTTCAGGGGAAAATGCCAAGTATCTTCTCTGGGAAAAGAGAAACTCCAATGCATTCAGTCCCAGGTACTCACCCAGTCCTATCGCAGGGCACGACTCCCCAGAGATCCAAACCATCCCTGGTTAGGGTGCCTGTCTAAACAGAAACGAGCGCTCGGTTTACTCTGAAAATTCGGCAGCCCCATAGTGACAACCCATATGGCATGTTTTAACGGGGAAATATGTCACGAACACGTTACTGAAATCAGCACCGCAAGGAAGGACACAGTGGGGTGGGTATCTGGGGTCTTCAGCAGAAGCTTGGATGGCTCATACCAGTTGTATCGCCAAGCTGGCGATAAAGGGAAGAAAACAGTATCTGTCTTATAAACTTCAGAGGCTGGTTGGGAGGATCTAATGGTAAAGTCTGGGGTAAGCCTGTAAGAGCTATAAAATGGGTGAGTCCCAGTTTTTATAGCTGAGGATAGACGTATGTCGTCAGGAATAAGTAATGGGAGTAGACTTTTGCCCTGCTCTACATAGGTGGTTTGCTATTTGACACCTAGTAGCTAAAAGAGGGTGTTTGCTGGTATTTCTCTCAGTGCCGGATAATGGTGAGGAGCTTGGACTCATTTAAAACCCCAGCTGTATGACCTGGGTGAATTATTTAATCCCTCTGAACAGCCCTTACCTGTACAGTGTGCTTACAGTTCGATACGGTTATTGTGAACATCAAATTAGATAATACAAATAAAGTGCTTAATTGAATGTCTGACACAGACTAAGAGCAAATTATAATGATAATTACCCCTAATTATTACTTATTTTATGCAAATTCCTGTCATAATGATTCTTCCCACCCCTGCTTCTTTTGCCAAGTCCAAGGATGAGATGACCTGGCAAATAGAACATTCTTTGTTATGCTAATTGGATCTCAAACTAATGCAGAAACGTGGTAGGTCTCTCTGATACTCCAGTAACCATTTAATACAGCTCTGATTCTATTAATTTTCTGTCACCAAAAAACTTCAATGCTTAGGAAGGATCGGAAAATTCTCAAGATGGATGGCGGTGATGGTCGTGCAACAGTGTAAATGCATTTAAAGCCACTTAAAAATGGTTAACATGGTCAATTTTATGCAATGTATGTTTTACCACAACAAAGGTAAGAAAGAGGAGAACAACAATGAAACAAGCAAAACAAAAACAAAAACCACTTTCAAAGGTTCGGCGCTGCCTGAAGAGTATGTACAAATATCTTAGCCAGATAGTAAAGGCGTACCAACCTCTGCCGTTACTAATGTCTTGCTCTGGTCAAAACGACAAGCTCTATTGCTTTCCCAAATCCACTCATTTGCCCATACTCACCTGCCTATAACACCCGTGTATTGTATTAATTTTCTACATATTATGATGATTTGGCGCCGTTAAAAAACCTAAGGAAAAGACAGCATCTCCTGGGTTAGCCAATTCTCAGGGACAGCAAGGGACTCAGCGTGCCTCTGACATGCAAACTAACTAATCCTCTCCTGGTCCCTACTCCTCAGGAGGCAATGGTCCTCTGCCTTCACCATCCCAGGGCCAAGTGCAGAGACCACCCTGCAGCCCAAAGCTCATCTAAATCATTTAAACCAGCCAATCATCAGCTGCCTACCCTGCCCTGCCCTGCCTGGCCGGAGCATCTCCTCATTCCTGCTTTGTTGATTTTTCCAAGCCCGGTGTTCCTCTGGTGGCCCACGGGGTGAGCTGTGCCTCTCCTCACCAGGTGAACTGCAACGTTAAACTTCTCTCAAAGCCATCGAGCTCTGTCTACAGTCATCAATCACCTTTATAAATGAAGACCTGGACACAAAACACCTTTATCTCACCCTCTCACAGCCCTCCCCGACCCCCCACCCAGCCAGTATAGACCCAAAAGAATACATTCAGGAGAAGGTAAAATAAGAGGCTGGTTGGGAATAACTTGCGTGTAATCAAGGATAATTTTCGGCAATATACTACCGATGGGAAAATACAGTAAGGATTTGACTGGGGCTTTCCTATAACCAAGTCCAATTACGCAAGCAAAACATGGTTAAATAATTCTTCCTTTTTTAATTCATTCATTATTTACTCTTCTTCTTATTTATTCATCATTATTTATTGTTATTCATTATTAGGTATGCATTATTAGATCAACAAATATTTATTGAGCACTGAATATCCGCTAGGCAATATTCTTGACCATGGTAGTGGTCAAGTAGGGACCAGAGTGAAGGGTTTAAGTTTTGCATAAAAGGCAGTTTTGCCTGGGGAGGGACAGAATGCTATCTTAATTTATTTTATAAGATATTGGAGCTGGAAGGACTTTCAAAGATCCACCGATTCAGTACCTACTCTCCCTCCTCTCACCCCCAGAATCTGGGAGCTCGGGAGATGTGCCTTTCCTAGACCACACATCCAGCCAGAGACGAAATGAAGCCAGATAACACATCCTATGTTTGCCGCCCCAGAAAAGTGGGAAGCACCTCTGCCTGATGGCAACGATGATAAAAAACAGCAATGATAATGAGGGTGAAACACACATACCTTGTCAAAGCAGACAAGGTTTAATTGTCCACATACATTGATCCTCTGGGGGCTGATGCAAAAGATGCCTTTCTTCTTCAACCTCCTCTGGGCATAGATAATGCCTGTGCTCAGAGCAGCAGGGAGAGCAGGAGGAACGGCAATCGTGATGACATCTAGGGCTTTCTTCACCACCTCCTCCGGAGGCCCCTGGGACATAAAGTCACCTTCAGCCATTGCAGGTAAATCAGCCCCGAACAGCCTGGTGCCTGTGACTTCTTTCCTCCTTTTTGTTTACGTCCTTAGGTCACATTCCCAGAAATGATATGAGTAGGTCAAAAAGTATGAATGGTTTCTGGCTCATGGACTTTCCAAAGTGCAACGGAACAGTTTGCAACGATTCATGCTGCTACCAGCAGAGACCAAGGTACAAATCTGCCATGGCCTCACCGACATTGGGTATCTAGGTTTTATTTTCAGTTCCTTATTTCATAACTAAAAAATACTACATTATTGGGATAAGCATATTCTCAGATTGAACATGAAAAAGCAGTGTAAGACGAGAGGCACTGTTGGAAGCTCAGTAAACAGTGTTTTGCCCCTCTGGTTCTGACTGTTATAATGTGACTTGGGGATCAGCCGCTCATATTGGGGAACCACGAGTACATATGCACGTTTCAGTGTTTGGCTTTGTTTCCCAGGTTTGTAAACCACAGCTGAGACTAAGGTTAACGTGCAGAGTATAAATTATACCTAGATGAGTGTACGTGTGCATGTAGTAAAACCACAAAAGCAGTTTACCCCGCTGAGCACATAGACGCACAAAGTGTAGATCATCCCAATGGTTGCTGTCCCTACAAGACACAGGAGGAACCTGATGGCGTCCCTGTAGAGCTTAAAATTCATTGGCTTCGGGTACAGAATGGATCTCACAAGGTCCCCCTTTGCAGTGTTGAATCCTGAAGTAACAAACACACAATCCACGTTCTTAGGATGACAAATCCTCCTGCTAGTGCATCTCTCAGCCTCAACGTGGCCTTTGTTTTCCTCTAGAGATCTTGAAACAGTGCTTAAACCCAAACACAATTAATGGATAATTGGGAAAATACCTGAATGCTGGAATGGAAATATCTTACCTATGTCAGAGCCTATTACTCTCGGATCGCTCTTCCCTCAACTTTCGATTTCAATGAGTCTCAGGGATCAGAAACCACCACCCTGGGATTAGAACCCAGCCTTTCCAAATATAACTTCAGTTTAAGGAAATCACGCACACACACACACACACACACACACACACACACACACACGTTACTTGAATTTAAACCATATGACCCAGGAAATACTGATGCACTTAATTTCTAATACTTTTCAGCGTCAAGTTTTCAATTTCTAACCCTGGCTAGAAAAAACTTGGGATTTGGGATTAAAAAGATCTAGAGTACTCGACCCAGCTCTGTCGGTGACTAGCTGTGTGATTCTCTTCTTAAAGTTTGCTCAGGTTGTGCTGACCTCAGCCTATTTATGGATGAAGTGGGAACAAGCATCTTTGCCATGTTGTGGTTGATATATGGAGAGAGTTTCTAAACTACGAAACATGTAAAGAGTAATTATTATCATCAGTGTCATTTTGACTAAAAGGAATACGCGATAGGGTAGTTCACACTTAAAATATAGGACTTGACATATGCTTGGTTTGTTACCTAAAGACTGTTCCTTACCTCATAGATTTCAGGCACTAGACACACGAAGCAAAACTATTTCATTAAAGTAACAAAACAGAAGAAGAGACGTTCCCTCACCAGTCTGCAGCACCACCGCCCTCACGGTCCCGGAGCTTGCTCCCTTGGCTTGGATAACCTCTGTCCCACAGAAGAGGACATGCCTTTTATAGTCCGCTTCACTCTGCGTTTTCCAGGGCATGGAGCTCTCCGTCTTGGGCAGTGGAGTTTTAGTGATTGGAATACTTTCTCCTACAGAAAACCAAACATCTCATTTTGTGAGGTGGGTGCCTTCCCTCGTTTAAATCACGCATGTACTCATTTGGCACGCGGAAGACACTTGTTCTAAGCCTGCCGTGCGTGGCAAGGGCAACCCTATGTATTAGGGATGCAAGGAGAAAGCAATATTGTCTGTAGGAGGTTTGTAGACAAATAAGAACAATGTCGTATTATAAATACTATACTGTGATATCAAACATGGACACTAAGGAAGGCTAGAAAAATCTGTGTAGGGAATAGCAGGTTGTGTTGTCCAGAATGTGGGGTGTGGGAATGAGGGGCCATGAGTCCCGTGCAGGAAACCAAAGCAGGGGGGGCCTAAGTGTTTACATGGTTTCTGTAGGCATTCATGGCAGAAGGGAGTGGGGGGATATTTAACTGTTTTCTTCAGAAGAGTAATGTCATGTTCATGTACGAGAGAGCACTCCGTCCGCAGTACAGGGAAAGGATGGAAGTCTGGTGAGGTAGAAGGCTGGACATCCAGTTGGAGAGAACAAGGTCTGAATTATAGCAGTAGGCAGTGGGAGTAAAAGGAAGTGCTGGATCTGAGAAACGAGGAGGTAAGAAGTTACAAAACTTGGGGAGAATTTGATATTGGCAGGTCATAGGAATAGAGAAATACAAAATGGCTTCCCAGTTCCTGACTTGGGAGAACGAGCAGAGGGTGGCATTCGTCATCAACACATGAATTATAGGAGGAAAGAATTGCCTATGGTCACCACGAGTTGGAGATGCCTTGTGGAATGGCTACGTTGAGAGGTCGTGCACTTATTTATTTGAGCCTGGAGTTCAAGGGACAAGCCTTGACCAGTGACATTGAGTCAGAGTTTGCCACCTTACAGGCTATGATTAAAGCCACAGGAGAGAGGAGATTACTGAGGGACCAAGTGTAAGGACGAGGACATAGCTCTGAGCACCATCGATGATCAGGAACAGCATGAGACACATGGGGCCATGGTGCAGTCTTGCACAGTTAGGGAGAAGAGAGTTTTCCAAAGGGGAAGATGGTCAGAATCATCAGAAGCAGCAGAGAGGTCAACAAGAAGAGAAATCTAAAGAATCCATTGGATTTGGCAATTGGGGCACGGGTGATTGTTGCCAGTGACATGGAAGGAGCAGACCGCAGCGGGCTGAAGTACTAATACAGGCTGGTGAATGAAGTTGTGGAAGCAATTAGGGTCTGTTGTGAGGAATAAACCTTGTGAAGTCTTCCATTGGCCTTTGTAGAGTGGGCAGTACAAAGTCAGAGATACGTCCCAGTATATTAGGGCCACTTTTGGCCAGGAGAAAGGTATTTAGCATCGCAGAAGCCCCAGCACTAAGGGATTTTTACAAATCTACAGATCCTTATAGAAAGAAACCTGGCCTGCCACACATTAAAAAAAAATTGGGGGCAAGTGGCCCCATGTAGGGCTCTGTGCTGACAGCTCAGAGCCTGGAGCCTGTTTTGGATTCTGTGTCTCCCTCTCTCTGCTCCTCCCCTGCTCATGCTCTGTCTCTCTCTGTCTCGAAAAATAAATAAATATTAAAAAAGATTTTAATAAAAAATATTATTTTTTGGTAAATGTACATAGAAGAAAGATACATTTTATTTCCATTTCATGCCTTCCTGGTCTGTCCAGGGGAAATGGATTCAATTTGGGCTCTAGTGGGAACAACAGTATGTCAGTGCGTCTTCTCAGCCCCTTAGTCCATCTGTGAAAAAGGCTTTATGATTCTTCTTTATCTCACAGAAATGTTGGCACAACATCTCCTCAAATGCACTCGTGAGAATTCAAAGCACTGTGACCTTGAGCAAGTCACTTCTCTCTGGACCTCAGCTTCCATATCCATGAAATGCAGTGACCTCTAAGCTCCCTCCCCGCTCCAGCACGCTGTTTAAAAATGAAATGCAATTAGTCCCAAAGTCCCAGTGTGTATTTTTAAGTAGCGAATGTGCCAAATCCTTTGTCATGAACTTTTTGACATATTCAAGCTGAGCCAGGAAGAGCTTGGACTTGAACTTCCGGGTTTCAGTATGTCAGCAATAGCTTTCGTATCTTCAAAGTTCATCAGAAGACATATTTTATATGAAATACTAAACATAAAAGTCATGGATGATTCTGCAATGTCTAGTGATCTGTACAGTCTTTTAAGGTAAAATGACAGGGTTGCAATACCCTTTGTTCATGAAGAAAATGCACTCAGAAAATTACAACTGTAACAAACTTAGCTCATAGAAAAGCAGCTTTGATTTGAACCCTTAAGTTAAGTAAGACTCATGGAGGGGGAATGTCCCACATCAAGCCCCATGCTTTGCCACTGTTGTTGCGATAGAGAAGGAACCTGGGAGAGCTTGCCGAGGCTGTAAGTCATGAGACAGAACCATACCTGTCAGCATGCCTTCGTCTACCACACAGCTGCCATCAATCAGGATGGCATCACATGGCATTTGTACTTTGTTTCCCGTCAAAATTAATAGATCTCCGGGTACCAGGAAGCGCGATTCCAGCTCTTGGACTCCACCTGAAAGTGTGAGATGGTACAGTCGAGTCAGATTTTTTTTTCTTACAAAAACATAGTCCAACATTTAGCTTAATTGGAAATCAATGAAAAAGCAACGTGGATGGAATGGGAGGGTGTTATGCTCAGTGAAATAAGTCAGGCAGAGAAAGACAGATACCATGTTTTCACTCATAGGTGGAATCTGAGAAACTTAACAGAAGACCATGAGGGAAGGGAAGGGGAAAAATAGTTTCAGAGAGGGAGGCAAACCATAAGAGACTCTTACATCTGTAGAACAAACTGAAGGTTGATGGGGTGGGGGGTGGGGGGGCAGGGGAGAAGGTGGAATGGGTGGTGGGCACTGAGAAGGGCACTTGTTGGGAGGAGCACTGGGTGTTGTATGTAAGTGATGAATCACAGGAATCTACTCCCAAAGACAAGAGCACACGGTATACACTGTATGTCAGCCAACTGGAAAATAAATTATTTTTTAAAAAAAGGAAACTATTCCTCAATCCTGATTCAAAATCTGGGAACAATAAGAAAAAAAAGTAATAAATTGCATAAAATAAAAACCGAGAAAAAACCTAAAGGCAAATTTAGAAAACGTGTTTGAAATTTACATTTCATTATATTACATTACGAAAGATATATAAAGGAGTTCCTGAAAAAAGAGATGTATAGCAAATGACTACAGCAAAATTGCTGGAGATGTTCACAGATAGTTCACACGCACACACACACACACACAATGCAAGTGGCATGTTAAACATTTGAAGATCTCATTCTTACTCATAATTTGAAAAAGGAAAATTCCTTCCCTCCTACCTATCTTCCTTCCTTTCTTCCTGTCTGCTTTCTTTTACTTTTTTCCTTCCTTACTCAATCCCAAAGCTGGGGGGTTAAATAAAATAGGCATCCTTGCAGAACGTCGGGTCGGGTGAGGATGTGGGTGGCAACCTGCTGCAGGTTTTGGAGCTAAAGCAGAATGGACAGGTGTTTACATGGCCTGGCAAAGGGTGTCAGAGCTCAGGGAAGGAGAGAAGGGCCGCCTTGGTGACAGTGGCCTGGTGTGCGATATTGGAATCCAACCAAGGTGAAAAAAGATGTCTACATGGAAGTGGGGGAGAACATCGGCAATGATGGATGATGGGTTCCACTTAGCAGGAACTGATAGAATAAGTAGATACAATGAGGTGAATGAGAGCCAGGTTTCTCATGAAGAAAGCAACTTAAAAATATAGATGGAAATAAATCTAGAATGAACTCTATGGTATTGGGTTAGAATTAGAGACCACCGGGATGCCTGGGTGGCTCAGTCAGTTAAGCGTCCAACTTCGGCTCAGGTCATGTTCTCACGGTTCGTGGGTTCAAGCCCCGCATCGGGCTCTGTGCTGACAGCTCAGAGCCTAGAGCCTGTTTCGGATTCTGTGTCTCCCTCTCTCTCTGACCCTCCCCTGTTCACGCTGTCTCTCTCTCTCTCAAAAAAAAAAAAAAAAAACCAACAACAAAAAAAAGAATTAGAGACAACAATGTAAACTGGTGGTTTTCAATAGATAAATAGATAGGGAAATAATAGCGATGTGTAAATGTACATGTATGTAAGAATACATACATACATAATAAGTTTGCTTATCATTTGATATACATATATGCACTAATTCTGTTCTCTAAGAGGACCTGGATGCAGTGAAACCCCAATAATAACATGCATACCTAGTACCCAAATTTTGGTTTCTAAATTCTATTCCTCCCCCCAAGAAAGAATCAGTGTTCCTTAAGAAAATGGTTGATTATAAGTCTGGGCCAATAAAAGTATAAGCCAGAACATTTTATTGCTCAAGGCAAGATGGAGACAGAAAAAACGTCAAAGCCAATTTAACAGGCTTTCACTGCCTAAATATGTAACAATTTGAGCATCACAGTAAGTAAAGATAAATGAACAATAACCCATCAAACAAAATAGGAATTCATGAATCCATATGATATAAGCAAATGGATAAATAAATGAGGAGAGAAGATAGCTTTTTTTCTTACAGTAAAATTACAATTAATGTAGGAGAAAAGATAAAATTAGAAAATCACCGTTTGGCAACCATCAAAGTAATAATTTAGCCAAGAAATACCAATGGATACTACAACTAGTGGGTAAATTTAATGAGGATGGATTATTTATATAGTCTCAAAGTATCTCCCAACAAAATATTTATTACTTACAATAAAAGAGTAAGTAAATGAAAATAAACAAAAGAGTAAATTTACAATGGAGAAATCTGGCCAATACTATTTAATTAAGTAATCCAAATTAACATCACCAGTGATAGAACAAATTTAAATTATGTAGCACTTGAGAGGAAGCAATTGAGGACATAGCATCACTTCTGTGACATTCCAGCCAAAAATGCATAATCTGAATTTCACCATTAGGCCATCAGACAAATCCAGATTGAGAGACTTTCTACAAAATAACCAGAGTGAAAGGAGTCCAGGTCATGAAAGTCAAGGGAAGATTGAAAATTAAAGAGACGTGTCAAACAACATCGTTGTGTGATTCCCGAATCCCTTCCTATGAAGAATACTATTAAAACCACTGGGAAAACTTGAATGGGGGCTGAGCATCAGCTGCTGTTAATATATCAATATTAACTTCCTGATATTAATGGTGACACTGTTTTTTATGTAGGAGAATGTCCTTATCTATGAGAAACACACACAAAAATACGTAGGCGTTATGGAGCCTTAGTTCGGCAACTTACTCTCGAATTGCTCAGGGAGAAAGTTATTTGAACTATTCTGGCAATTTTTCTGTAAGTTTCAAGTTATTCCCTTAAACAAGAAAACAATAAATAAATACGCATAACAGTGCCCATCTACCTAATTAGAAAAATCTAAAAGATTGCCAGCATAGTCTGTTGACAAGGCCATGGGGAAACAGGCATTCTCACAATTACTGGTGCAAACGCAAGCTGGTGCTATCTCCATGGAAAGAAATTTGGCAATATCTATCTAGCAAAATACACACACACATCTGTCCTTTAGCTCAGCAATTTTACTTCTCGAAATCTACGGCAAAGATAAACTGGTGGAAATATGAAAAGACATATGCACAAACAAGCCTTTTTACTTTAGCACTATCTGTAATTGTAAAAAAACTTAAAAAACTAAAAACTAAAAAAAACTAAAAAACAACAGCAACAACAAAACAACCTTCAATAGAGAATTGATTGAATAAATGTACAAGAGTACTATAAAGCTGAGATACACAAGACCTATTTCTATATCCCTCTATGAAAGAGTCTCCATGAAACATAATTAAGTATATAAATACACCTGAAATTAATATAACATTCTATGTCAATGATACTTCAATTAAAGTAGAGCATGTAAAGCATATACACCAGGAAACATAAGCTAAATGTGTACGGTATGTCCTTGTCATCTAAACAGCAGTATAAATATATATAATATTCCATACATATACTATACAGATCTGGATATTATATATAACTTTTGTTTTAAATGTAAGAATTAATTAAAAGCAAACAAAAATGATTCTTATAGAGAGAGTACACAAGGTAGAAAAAGGAGAGATAGGAGCCAGACTCCCGAATGTCTTCTCTTAATGGATTTAACTTTGAATCATGTAGATATTTTATATAATCATACTATATACTTTATAATTTATACATTTTATAAATAATTGTATTAAGTTTATAACTTTTTATTTTATATAATATATATTTATGTATAATATCTACTAAAGTAATACAAAAATAAATTTGAAGAGCTAACACTAAAAATCTAAGGCAAAATGAATGAGATGAACCTATCAGTTTGTCGACATAACCAGACAGAGAAGAATCATTTTGAATAACTCTGAAGCATATTTTTTTTAAAAAATGTATAATTTGTACATTTCAGATGGTATATCAGAAGAAGAATTTCAACAAAATATGAAATTGGTTTTAGGAATTACATTCCTGCAGGGTATTTTGGTTTGCTATTCTGAGATTACTGTGTATAAGGGATAGAACAAATTAGTAATTTGTTGCAGTCATTGAGAATCAGGACATTTGACATAGAGAAAGGAGAGATAAAAGTACAATCAGCAAAGTTAAGTAAAAAGTCCATAGTTCTGAACTCGAATTAGAAATGCCAGTATGAACTCATAATGTATCATATCTTTAAGAAATCATTTCCTGGGCGCCTGGGTGGCTCAGTTGGTTAAGCGTCCGACTTCGGCTCAGGTCATGATCTCACAGTCCATGGGTTCGAGCCCCACATCAGGCTCTGTGCTGACAGCTCAGAGCCTGGAGCCTGCTTCAGATTCTGTGTATCCCTCTCTCTCTCTCTCTGCTCCTCCCTTGTTCGTACTGTTTCTCTCTCTCTCTCAAAAATGAATAAACATTAAAAAAAAAAAGAAATTATTTCCTTTATCTCTCTCCTGAGAAGGCCTAGCAACAGTGACTTACACCACAGAAAGGAGCACTCCTCGTGCTCTGGATGAGGTCTCTAACTACCATACCTAAGAGCTCTTTGGAAAAATGGATGTGTCCAAGTTTGGAGCAGGATTATTCCAGATGAGCTTGGAATGTCATGTCATCTCAGAAAGCAATGAAATTTTCAAAGACTACTGAGGTCATGGCAAAAGAATTCAGAAGCCAACCTGGGGAGGCACTCAATGACCAAAGATGTGACAATCTGAGCACAGTAAGAATAAAAATTGCCAGGGATGGAAATGTACCAACAATGTTTAACATTATACACCCATAATGATACTAAAAAAAAAATTCTTTGGATAATGCTAGAGGATCAATCCATTATTCTGAAAGCTGGTACATAAAAGAAAATGATCAAATATTAATTCTGTATTTCTTAAACAAACTGAACCTCAGGGTAATAAAATAGTTGAGGAGGGTGTTTTTCTTTACAGAAATATTCCACTTAGTATGTGAAGATGGTATGATAGAAGTAGAAATTTGAAACTCCGAATGAAATAGTAATCTAGATCATAAGAATTT